CACTTACATCAACCACAAAATGGCTTTAATTATAGATGGCTAACTAGTTGCACACATAGGTACGATAGCCTTCTTAGTCTGGCTCCCAAGATAACCACTATGCCTATATCATATATTAAAGTCGAAATCGATCAGCAGACGCTTGGAGTTTGGTGGGAATACAACCGTTCACTGAATATTTATGAGTAGTATTTGAAAACACGCAAAAACTGGTTGATGAAGATAAAATAAGGACAGAAAACGCATACGATACTTAACTCTAAAATATTTTAAAAGTCGTCTTCCAGCAAGCACTCTTCTAGCGTGTTACTTTAACTCGGTTGTTGGAAAGATGATCCTCTTTTCGGCCCGGCTTTATCCTTCTAGCGCGATTAGGAAGAAAGAGAAATCCAAAATAAATAAAGATTTTCTGATACAACCATCAAAGAAACCGTATATTGAAGGGGTGGGATACAACGATGGAGACTACATATTGTTCTTCACACGTCGGCACTAGTGATTTAGTATAACAATAGTAGCAGACTAATAGGCGAGACTATAAGTTATGGACCAACTAATCCCATTTAAGATAGGTTGTGAATTTTGGTGAAAAATTCATTCATATATTTAGCTAAATTGCGTTTTGGTGTTTTAGCCGATATTAGTTGGTGGTGAACACCCTAGATTCAGTTTCTTAACCTAACTGTCGACTATAAATCATGATTCTCATTCCTCACACTGCTTTATAATGTTCGTCCTGCTTTAGGTAGTGGGTAGACATTTCCAAGGTAATTTTTGCGTCGTTCTAAGGTCCTCTATAAATTACAGTTTCTTTGAGTAATCTAGAACGGAAGTCATTCGTGATTGTCGAGATAACCAAGCAATAATACGGATTCACAATGCGCTGCTTAACTGCATGTTTCTGGTACATAAACCAAAGTGTATAGCTAATCTATGAGTCAAGTCAACGACAATGTTTCACATGTTATATACAAGCTGTCAGATTTCGCACTTCACAAAACAATACATACTTGAGGTATGAGTGACGGGAGATATGTAACTGCCAAAACTATACGCGGAACATCGTTCGAAATTCACTCGAGTTTCACTGTAACTTCACCAATTAATTGCTACTCACTGACACCTACCATGAGTCTCAACTGTTTATCCAACAGCATTAGAATAAATGAGAAAAATGTGGGTGGCTGTTGGGAACCATACTTATCACCTCACGACTAATACGTCAAACATAAGACAATCGACAAAATTGAGATACCTTTAGGTGTCTTAGCGTCTAGAGAGTATTTATTTAGAAGGTGTGAAAAGTATGTCTAAAGTACTCACTTCGGAATTAATAAAAGCACATCTAAATCTCGCCATGCATCTCGAAGTATAATATCATAAAAAGCGAGTCTCTCTCACTAGGAGTCATGTCGGATACAATGAAGGGTGAGAGAAAAGATTTATTGATGTTTTAGAAACCAGGTGTCTTCTGATAGTGAGATTAAACCTGGTCAGTAGTGGTCGGTGTCAGACGCTGATCAGAAGTCAACGAAAAATACTGAAGAATTCACTAGTATTGTATTTCATGGTGTCCTAGGATTGTTAGGTAATATTTCAAATGATAACTACTTCAAAAATCTCGTCCTGCTCACTTGGCGACAAACGGACGCTAAATACAGTGGTTGTTAAATTAAGCAACGTGAAAGACTTAAAATGCTTACACCAATTTGACATAAGTAAATAATTAATGAGTAATCATGCATGATATTATGAAAGTCGGCCTAGACTAATATAAAATAGACGAGGTTTGTAGCAATCGTGACTGTCTCCATAACTGTTGCACACCGAAAACCAGTCAAGGACACAAGTGATAAATAGCACGTCTCTGACGTTGTGCCAAGAGAATAAAGTTGTTCTACTTAGTTTCTGTAAAAAAGAGCAATAAACTTCCGTTTGGTTGCATCGCTACAGCTGGTCACGCATGACAACGTATCCAAAGGCCTTCATTGTGTTACAAGGGAACTTGAGCAAACATCAAAATTTCGTAATTTTTATGGTTACATAGATCCAAGGGTAGTAATGCAAATGGAAACTTGACTCTTTTATAATAGCAATGTCAACGAAGCAAGTGTGAATGGCATGATATTGCTCAGGCGTGATAGAAAACATAAGAGGATGTTCAGTTATCATTTACGTCGTAAGCTTCTTGAAGGCCGAAATGTTGTGCTTCTTGATGATGGTTGTAGTAGTTTTCAAAGTTTCAACTCCGTACAGTAGAACTCTCTCGACGTTCGTATTGGAAATTCTGAATTCGATATTGGCTTGTATTCAGTCGTTTTGCGTTCCATATGTTATTCAATTGTAGAAATGCTGTCCTTACTTTACCAATCCTTGCAATTACGTCTGCATCTGATGGTGTCCAGGTACGTGAAGACTTGCATACCTTCCAGATTTTCTGCATCAAGTGCGACTGCGTTGGTGTTCTCCTTGTTGTATTTGAGGATCTTTCTCTTCCCCTTGTGTATGTTGAGATTTACTGTTGTAGAGGTGGACACTATACTGTTTGTCTTCACCTGCACTTGTTGGCGTGTATGTGATAGGAGGGTCAGGTCATTTATGAAGTGTAAATTATCTAGTTACATGTGAGCCGTCAACTTTATTCCGTGTTATCCCTGTTCCTCTATTGTTGAATCTCAGTGATTGGCTTGCATTCATTGTCCCTGACTGATCGCCCTGTTTTACGATATTTCCATGTTAGTTTCTTCCTTGTGTCATATAGTTGTTTGATATTTATTTCACTTGCAGCTTTTCACACTGTCATTGCTAGATGTTCTACATATTTCTGCTTGTTGACCGTAATGCCCCTCTTTACCCTCATGTTTATTTCTGTGTACTCGGTCTGTGGCATGGTTCCCTCTGCTCTTGTTCAACCGTTGTTAATTGCTTCTTACGGCTTAGAATCTCCTAACACGTTGAAGTTAGTGCTTCTCTGATCCTCTTCCAGTTGTTCTCCATAGTAGTTCCCTCTTCTTTTGGTGGATCATGTAAGGCTTGAAACCCGTTTCTGAGAGCTATCTTGAATTCGTTGAGTTTGTCAGTATATGGAAGAAAGGCTATACAGAATTTGTTTAATGCTGAGTCTTCAGTTTTCCAGTGTTTCTTTAGCTTCAGTTCCTAATTGGTCACAACCAGGTGGTGGTGATTTGAAGGTATGTCAGCTTTTTTTCCTGGTTCTTCCATTTATCTTCTGGATGTTTTAGTGATGCAAATATGATCGATCTGATTCTCTGTAGTGTGATTTAGTGAGACCCATGTAACTTTGTGTATGAATATGTGTGGGAATACTGTGCCACCTTCAACCGTTTTGTTGAAGCCACATAGATTTTAAAATCCCTCTTCATTCTCATCCCTTTCTCTTAATCAGTTCATGTTGTCTCATGATATTTTCCTACTTAGTATTATCCATTTGGACCTTGGCGTTAAGGTCTCCCATCAGGATGGTCAAGTCCTTACCTGGACAATTCTCTACGATCGATTGCAGCCTTTATTAAAACTCGTCGTAATAGTCTTTATTGCTATGATTGGTGGTTGAATAACACTGGATAACATTCATTGTGATCCCTTCTCTGTTTCAAAGGAGGTTTGGTTATTTATTGCAACTCACTGCGCGTGCGTCGAATTTTCATCTTTGTGACCAGAGTACAAGAACATCTCTCTCGATTCTATCTTTTTCTGTCCAGCTTGAGTTCAGTGGGTTTCACCGATTTCTAGAACCGACATGTCTCATTTGTGTAGCTATTTGGTTGATCCTTCCAGTGTCTCACAATTTCCTAGCATTCTATGTATCTAAAATGACCGTTGCTGTTGTTTCTAGCAGAGGTCTCGAACTAGTTACTTCTAAAGGATATCAGTTTTCGCCATGTGACGTCATAATTCTGAACGAAGGTCGTTCAACTCGGAGTGCAGGGTTTAAATGGTTTAATTCGTTTATTCTGCCTAACAGTTTTTAGGAAGATTGGTTTTTATGGAACGGGGTTGCTTACCTCATTCCTAGCATTCCTTTTTTACCCGGGCTTGAGACTGGCGGTAGCTCTAGAAGAGCTACAGGCAGAGTACGAAATGGGTCAATTGTGCCAAGAAAATCCGCCTCATCATCTTAGACTCCTCTTTCTAGGCTTTGGGAGGATCAAAGATAACTTGATCGCAAAATGTGAAAATAGTTAATTTTCGACAGCAAAAATTCTTTTAAAGTATAGTACCTCAATCTTATATGTAATCCTCAAGAAATTTCAAACTTACGAGTGTATAACAAGGTGTGGTACCACTTTTTCTCAATGCAGGTCTTCCAACCGAAGTCATCACAGTCATCTCTGGAGATAACTTTAAGGAGAGGAGAAGCGGATATTCATGGCTTATCTCACCTTTACTGAATAATCAAGTACAACAACGAACCAATCACTCCTTACGTTAACTATTTTCACTTTATCATGTGTTCATCAATATTGTCAATATTATTAATGCTACTGCATATTATTATCATTATTAATTTCACCAACCATACTTTATACCTTATCACCACCATTTGTTTGCTGCCTTTATAAATTCATCCATTTTTATTTGCCTAATCGTTGTTCTGCCTGGAAAATTTTCCCTCATCACTCATTTTCATTATCTCCCTAAAATATATCATATGACAGCTAATTAACTGACTGCCTTGAGACGTGACAGCTTTTAGTTCCATCAGCCTCACTGCTTTGGGGCAAATACAACCATACATGCAGTGAACGCTGTCGAGCACCTGTAACTTTGCCTGAACACTATGAATTGGGGGAAAATAAATCAGTTGACTTATATTATCATTTGTAGTATCTGCCGTATGAGTCAAAGTTTCTAGAAAAGTCGGCGAGTTTGCATAAGTACTTACTTCATGTTTTACAATGGTGGTTCATTCCCCTTCCCTTTGAAATGTGTTTGTTTTTCAGTAGTAAATTTAAGGTTAAACTTGACTGCAGTTTGTTATCGTTACAGCGCAATATACAGAATGAGTAGATCAGACAAGTATGAAAACGTGCGACATGTGTACAGATTACTGAAAGAAAAAGGAGATATAGACAAGATAAAAGTAAATTATTTTTGATGATTAGGACAAAAATATGAACAGTCTCAAATCAGGTCGAAGCTGATACTGGGGTTTGGATCTTTGGATAATTCAATAACAAAGTTTGACACTGAAACCACTGATCGAAATATAAGGATGGCAAATTGCCTAGTTGCAGATCATCTGAAGACTCACGGGTATGATTACTCTCTGAGTGTTTTTCTGCCTGAAATTGGGCTAACTAATTTCGAGGTATGTTTTAACAAAAAGCTAGATTTATAATCACTTTCAGTTAGAAGAGTTCATTAAAGATATTTCGCATCTCAGGCCTTATAGTTGTTTTGAAGGTCGTGAAAGACTGGTATTACGGTATATATTTCACCCAACTTGTTCTATTTTAGACGAGTTTTTACAAAGAGTCCTATTCATTATTAGTGTCGATTCTGAAAGCCTATGAAGATATCTCTAGCCTTTCAAAAGAACATAAAGCTATCCAGACAGTTGAAATAGATGGTTCTGACTTAGGTAACGTTATGAATGATGTTTAGTATTTACTGCCCCTCCAAAAATTGAACCCTATTGTTTTATTATTACCTGTGTGAGAATTGATATATCAAACGTCGTACTCAGAATAAAAGGGGTATTGCAGTTGTTAACCGTTAGTATTTTACAGGTGAACGGAAGTCCCAAAAACCCAGAATAGGTGCTCGATTAGGAATGTTAATTTAACATTATGAAATAAATTTTCATACTCGGCATATGAGTAATTTTAGCTTACTTATTCCACTAAGCACACACATTTATGCGTAATTTTTGTGGAAAAGAAATTCTTATTCAGGCACAAAAGCATGGGTTTGGCGAATACATAAAAGAAGCAACTTTATTAGTGCAATATCATAGCTAACAAAGATATGGAAGTGCGAAAAAAAGTAGTGAGAGCTCCTCGGAAATATGGTAACCGATCTTTAATTTGCTTGAATGCGTTTCTTGAACCTTTGGCTCAGACTCAGTTCAAACTAAAAGTGTCAAACTAAAATAATGGGGAAGTTGATTGGGTTTAGTCTTCAGTAGTGAAGAAAGAAGGTCAGGTATTATATGTTATGGTGAAGAACTCTAGTAGTTCACCACTCGATAGGGAAAACAAAACTTTAGACGCAAACGCTTTGATTTTGGCTTTTAGAGTTTCACAATTCTCCTTATCTGAGACCTAGGTGGAAGACCTTGCCAAAGGCTTTGCTTAGATTTATGAAGAGCACAATGATCAGAATATTCCTATATTTCGTTACAGTCCAATCTTTTATTGCTACAAGGAAACTGGCTAAACATGGAAGATATTCCCTAAAACTGTTTTTCTCGTGCTAAAAGAATACCCCTTTCCATGTGGCGTGGAATAGTAGCCAAAACAATTATTTTTAATAGTTTAACCTTTGTACTAGTTATGCTGACTAATTGGGTGAGTTATTGACTGAATATTTACAATCTGTTTTGAAGACCAGGCTAATTATTGCATCGTTGTAGCCTGTTGGTGTTTTCGATAGATTCAGAGGTATAGTAATCAGAATTACTAGTGGTTCTGCAGGCACAGCAATCAGAACTCTCCCGTTTTGAGGATGCATACCAACAGAGTTACTCGACTTATATGATTTTAGATGTTGGAGTAGTCACAGAACAACTCTCTTCTCTATAAATACCGAACCAATCAACAATGCGCGATTTTAAGAACTAATGGCTGTTTTTTTACTATTAGTGGAAAATAATATCGCAATATTTTGACAAGGTTTCAACTTTATTGATTTTTTCATGTCCCGATGAAAAAAGATATTTCTGGGTCTGGAATGCCAGAAATTATTAGTATTATTGTTCTGAAGATTCAAGACTAGTCGTTTCTCACGGAATAATTTAGTTTTATTTGCAAACACTTTACATGGATTCTCAGCGTTAAAGTAATTAGAGCTGAAATGTCCAAAGCCTGTAGAAGTGAACATGTTTAGTATTCTCCTGCGTTTAAGGAGTTTTTTTATCTCTTTTGTTGTACACAGTACAGAGTTATTGGGCCTACTTTGTTATGAGCGTGATATAAAAGCAGATGTAACTAGGGTAACCGAACCTTTACGTACGGACCATGCCTCCTTAATTGATTATCTAGTATTAACCGACCAGTCTGTAGCTGCAGTAAACTCGTTGGTGGCTGAAATGTTTGTCTGCCACACACTTGGACAAGATAGAGCCTGACCATAGATTATTCCACAATCTCCAAACTTGAACGATAAAACTACATCATTACCATTTTGTAAGGGTGGAAGAGTGTTTAGACAGGTAATATCTTCAGCTTCATCGGTGATTACTGAATCCAACAAGGAAGATCCTTGGTTTGAACTAAAACATATGGGTTAGGATATACGCTGTACTTTACAATATATATCAGGTACATCGAAGTCTAGTACCATTAACCTTTTAGCTTCACTCAAGAGCTTAATGCGTTCTCAAATGAAATCATCAACTTGGAAGATTGGAATACGAAAAGTTATACCTAGCGTAAATGTAAAATGTTCAAAAGTAAGTTCACAGCTAGCAAATTCATAAGTCCTATTTTCACGAGACTCGCACAGAAAGAAATGTATGTGAATATTTGCAATGCATACGAGGACCCTCACTCCCTTATGACATATTCCTATCACCTTTTAGGTATATGTATCCCAATCGTTTGACAAAATCATTGTTAGTGATTTTGTGATTGCCATCATGAAAGTTTAGCACTACTCCAAATAATAGGAGAAAAATATCTTTCTTTTTTGGGTGCATGTTACTTCATTGAATAAACAAATTACAGGCCATTTAAATGGATAGTCACCATGATGTAAAGAGCGCATGTCAAATATACAGTTAGGTTTGTGAATATCAAACAAGGATAGTTCTATACTATGTAACAGGAAAGATGAAAATTCTCAAGTGACATACTGATATTAGGAGGTATATAGAATTATATGTAAAAAGTTACTAATTTGATATATGGTAGAATTTTATGATTTGTTATAAAGAGGCACCTGTAATTTGTCAGAATGATCAGTACTATGGTTATAAATCGTATTATCGAGTCATGCAATATAATTAAATAATGAATAATCAAGAGATCAAACTATTGACGTAATCTGAAATGAAAAGATATCAGAAGAAAAGACAGATACCCGGCAAAAGACTGTTTTTTTCTTACGAAATAACATTTGTTAAAAAAATTATAAACACAATTAGAAACGACTGATAGTCATTCAGTAAATACTGACTGTAAATCATTTACTCTGGTATGGAACTAGTGCTTAATTATCAGGTTTAATTCTTGCTTAGTCATAACATAACTATAGTTTTATAATAATTATTGGGCAAGTACACACAAACTAAAGATATGCTTTGTTTTCATTTTGTTCACAAAGATCACAGGTTAAACAATATTAATAAAGAATATGAAGCAATGAAGTCATTAGAGATTTTGCATGCAAAACAGTCATTTGATGATCGTTTGGAACAATATAAGAGTGAAATAAATGAGCGAAGTCAAATAGAAATAGAGAAACAGGCAAGATTAATTTCTATCATTTGCTCGAGTAAATCATCGGCTTTTTCACAATCTTGTTGTATTTTTGTTAGTTTTTTTAGAGAATGTATTTGTAATATACTACGGTTACTAAGAGCTTTGTTGAAAACCAGGCCATACTCTCTGAGGTTTTCGAACAGTTCATAGCTATCAGTGCTCATTCACAACTCGTTTCAAGGCTGAATTCGGGACTGTTGACTCACATTTTTGAGGTCAGATAGTTTGTAATTTGACATAGGATGACATTATTACTTTACTAAGTAGACTGATAATTGAACTCTCTGTATACCGAGTATGTTAATCTTAACAGCGGTCACCCTTTATCAAAAAACTTCAAGAAAATGGGAATTCGTTTTAGTACGTATTCGAGTTTTCTTTGCGATCATCTGTCGTGAAAATAATTATGTTGATCTGAGATAAAGGTGAATCCAGCTGACGAATCCCAAGTGGACGAAACATGCGTCGTAGATTCTACTACTAGCAACCATCCATCTCTGATTTTAATCATATTGATACTCCTTATATAGTTAGTCTTACTTATATATTTCAACAATCAATACAGAAATATTCTGGTTTACAGTTTGTGGATTACGATAGCTTCGGTAGTGTGTAAAAGACGAATTGATAAACTATGTAGTAGATTTGATAGTATGCAGTGAAATACATAATTATATGCTGTTTACTTTTCACCTTAAAATTCACATGTAATACGTGTCAAATAAAATTAAACGATAACAGACTAGTCGGTGAAGTAATAAAAAGACTGCTATAAATTATTTCACGAGCAATTGCCAAATGTTGTAAACTATTCCTTTGTGTATCTGTCTTTCTAATTTATTAATTTAGTTATTTATGTTAAACAGGGATTATAGTTAAACTAGAATTCATGGAAGTACGATTTTATATATTTTTGAGTTGTACAATTTTATTATCGAGTACTGATTATTGTCCGCAACGAAACCCTTAACGCGAACTTTAGACAAAGAATGGAACCTGAATTATTCTTTTACTTGGAAAGTAGCCAGTCAGATGTTATAGCTGTTTCAAGCGAAGTAAATTAACATGATGAAGTATAAATTTTTCACAGTGTATAGTGTAGTTAGTTAAATGTTTCTTACACATCAAGTTTTTTAGTTGCAAGGAACCTTTGAAATTTCATGCTAATAGTATACGGCAACAAAGCTTTTTTAGATTTCAACCTATGTGATTCGCCCTAATACGATGAATTGCCAAAAATGTTTACTGATTTAGATATCAGAGTTTCGTCAAAATGAATTGAACTCGTTAAAATCGGAATTGGAAGAAGAATTTCAAAAACGTCTACTTCAAAATACACAGCGAGTAAGATACCTTATTACTGTGGTAAAAATGAATATCTATTTATATGACAAAAGGAACATTCGTTATGACCACTTTATTAGGGAATAAGTTGACTAAGGTATTCAAATTAGGTGTATTATTAGCTTGGATATAAGATGTTACATAGCTTGGCGAGTTTTTTGAGTGAGAAGAAGAATAAAAATGTTTAATTACAAATAAAAGTGTAATAATGTGATGCATTGTACCTAAATATGTTCTCATATTTTTGTGGTTAAAGCATAATGGTGCCAATTATTTGGCTGAATAGTATAAAATCCCCTAAAATTTTTATTTTTCAAACATAACTACTGTCGAGAAGTAAGTTGGTTAAAAACACCACCTATTCCTGTAGAGATCCAGGGCAACCACAAAAAACTGTTTGAACCATATAAGTTCGTTGCATTTTTTAAAAACTATGATTGGGTCATCATTTAGCTGAGATCCAGGTATATGATAGTCATTCTAGATTTGTGGCAGATTAATTTAAATGAATGATGAAATACTGTGGGATTCTAAAACACATTGTTAAGTTTGGCACTGGATAATTTATACTAGATAGACCGGTCGTAGCGTATATGGTTGTGGTGTTGAGTAACCTAAACTGGGATTTACGAAGATTTATTAACTTTCTAAAGGGTACAAAGGTTCCCTGCTGATAAATTGTTAAAAATAACCGAACAAGGATTACCTTTCGAGTGTCATTAAATAAACAATATTCAATAAGGAGCACTGCAACTATTGACTGATCGAGTTTTGTCAAACACGATCAACAGATAACATAATATGAGTTACATATCAGCTAAAATATCCTGACGTTTAGAGACATATCTAGAAATTGTAAACTGCTATCTGAATGTTCAGCTAACATATATGGTCACTCTTCTGCAATCTACTTGACTTTAGTCTAGTAAAAATTCGAAAATATTTTAAACCACAGTTTACCTACTCGTGAGTAGTAAACCATAAAATAGATAGAAATATGAACAAACTCTGTAAAAGCAATTGGTTTTTTTATTCCAGTTGCAAGAAGAATTTGAACTTCGCTGTCAGTCCCTCAATGAACAAGAGGTGCTGCTTAGAGAGAAGTACAGTCTATTTCAACAAAAAGAGGAGCGTGAAGCATTTGTTAGACGTCAAGCCTTGCAAGCTGAATTAGACGCTATCCAGTTGGTGAAGACACAATTAGATCAAGAAAAAATCCAAATAGATAAGTTAGTTAATTAAAAAAAAACAATTTACATGGCAACGGTAACTTTGTAAATGAATTTTTTTCAGCTGTAATTATTGACTATAATCAATAGTCCTTCTATATTGTTAGGTATTTTTTAGAAAATTTACAATGATTGAAGTTATTTAAAAAGAAACTCAAAAAGAGAAAGAAGTATGGTCATTTTGTATAAAGTAAAAGAATTCAAAAATGTGTACTAATAAATCTTTTTGAGTAACGACAAGACAGAAGATATTGATGTATTCCATGAACTCTTGTTTAGCATTTATCTGTAGGATTAGTAACTGGTAAACACCAAACCTCATAACTAATGTCCAGCTATGTGACTAAATTTTTTCTAAAAAGAAATAGAAAATCATAAGTAGAGCTGTATTTCTAAATTCTCTAAAGATATCGTGATTTAAGAAAGCTACTTTTCAATAAACATATCAAAGTATTTTCTTGTGAATCACAATTTTATGATGTTTAGTGGCAATGTAAACGAGTTAGACAAATGAAATGATTGCTTCTCTATCTTGGTTAATGTTACTAGACATTAAATAATACATAAATCCACGATTACTATAAATTAAGTTTTTGCAACATATTCCTATCAGTTTGACATAATTTATTTACAGTATACCAAACATTTTATTTCTGATTACACAACGAAGTTTTGATACGATTTGACGATTATTGGATGTTCAGGGAGTTTGTAACCATACTGCATATTACACTGAATAATTTTCTTTGAGAGTTCGAACTGAAATTAAATTAATTAACGTTTTGCTCTTTCATATTTTTCAAGAATTGAAAAGAAAAGTGACATACTCCTATTTCTGAAATCCAAATATTGAAATATGCATGATTAGATTTTTAAGTGACTAAAAACTTGCACAATATACTTTTGATTACACATCGTTATGTCGACTAATAACATATGTCCTTCACTTTCAGAAAGCGTTTGTTATTCTGGAATAAAATACTTCTCTTAGCATATACATAAGCTGTCATTCGTTTTCTTTGTTCTGTAATTAGTAAGTCGTAAATCTGAATCTTGGTATTAGTTGTATTTGACCATTGAGAAATACATTCTATTCATAAATTCAATAAAACAAAATAGTAATTGTACATTAATTTGATAATTGAATTTTATTTATTTATTTCTAATTATTAGTGATAAATTACAGTTACATAAAGATTATGAGAAAAATGAATTAGAATTTAAAAAGCGTGAAAATCTTTTAGAAATAAGAGAAAAAACATTAGAAAGTGAAATTCATGAACATGTAAACCAGTAAGTTGAATTGTGCATTCCAATGAACGGTTGTGAATAAAAAGAACTTTTTTGATTGGACCAACTAAAATGATTAGGTTAATAACGCTAAACGACACGATACATCACTCATTTATTATTATTTTTTTCTGTTAGTTTCTTTTAAGTGAGCTTGAAAATTTCTTGGAAAAATTTTTATGAACTAGGAGAAAGCTGGAAAAATTTCGTCTAATCAACGTTTGGTAGGAGCTTTTAAGAGAGTTCTAGAAAAAAAAACGATGGATTATTTGTTATGCCCAAATTGGATAACCAAAGATTTTGTCATTGAATCTTCTGGAATATCAAGGTCTCACATAAACATATTAATACCTTTGTTTGCGATACTGAGGCTGATCTTGGAAGAAAAGCTACTTTTTATACTTTATGTCTTTTATTTTCAATATGAGTCTCAAGTATAAAAGATTTGTAATGTATTGGAAAGTTGTGAAAAAGTCAACAATCATAACTTTATGTACTAGGGATATCAGTTTCATGAGGATTCTATGTAATAGATATTAATTCTAAGCAATATTACTACTGATTTACCAGCCGCTTAAAATTTACTTGGTATTTAAGAAACATTCTTCGTTGATTGACTGTTCAGTACTGTGAATATTATTTACAAGAAGTAATTACCACCTGTAGGAAATTTAGAACTAGACGCGACAATCTTTTACTCCATGTCGTTAGCTTCCCATAATATAGAGTGTTTGATGATAAATTGATCTGAGATCAAATAATGACATACTGTCATAGTTAATTTAGTTTCTCATTCATTCTATAGGAAACTACAATATTTTATTAAATTTTGATGATTTCATAGAATTAAACAATCAACTTTAAAATAGTTTCTTTTTAAGGAAAACGCATCCTTATTATGAATTTGCCATAATTATTACAATTTCGAATTAGTTCTCTGTAAATATAACTTAGTATGAAGTGGACATGTTCCTAGTAGCATTTACTTTGAATTTAATAAAATAAACAGAAACTATTCGAAGGTTTGGTTTCAAGTAAATTTTTGAAAAAAAATTTATGGTTTTTTAAAACATGCTTAAAATGGTTATCTGTTTTCACGTCGCTATTAAATGTAAATTGAGTTAAAGCTTAGGCTATATACCATAAATATTGGAAATTTATAAGCCATATCATTAATGATAACTTGCAAGCATTACGTTTGAGAGTTACAAAGATTGATTTTATTGTCTGAAACTTCTGAAATTAGCCAGTTAGTCTTGCTGATAATGACCACTATTCATAAAACCTATGTTTAAATTTTTGTCTCATACAAAATATTCATGTCTTAATCTTAATTATATCTATTCATGAATAAACTTATTTCATTCTTTTAGACTTTCAATTTTACGTTTTTCATAAACTATTCTTGGTCTCAATGATGTTTTACTCCTGCCTTTTCTAACATGTCTCATTTATTTGAATGACCTCGAATCTCTCAGTTTGACCCATTCACCTTATCTTATTTCTGACTATGACTAAGGCATTAAACAAATGTATTTTTACTTCTGGAAAACGTTGTCCTTTGTCCTCTCGTCAACTAAATCCTACTCACCTTTTTCCTCATGCGAATCGTTATCAAAATTCTCGTTTTCCCAGTTGTGAAAAAAGTGATATTTCAATTTGCAGGTATAATTGATCAATCTTAATACGGTAAAACTATGCTGGTGACCTTAAGACGTTTTAAAAGTGACCGAGAGATTAGGTGGTCATAAGTTAACAAATAAGAACGCAGTTTTTGTGGAGGGGTACGGTATTACAAGAAATGGTCTGGAGTGGATCTAGAATTTCGACACCATTAATAAACTTATTAGGGCTAAATGTAGGTCATTAAAGGTGAAAATTATGGTACATTAACACTCCTAAACCTTAACTCCCAAATCTAACGTTCCTGTAACCTAACTCCCAACGCAAATATTTCATTTCACAAGAAAATGATCGCCCGATCCATTCAAAATACGAAATCTAGTCAAAATCACGATTTCCAACAAAAAGCTATCCTCGATGGCGTTTTAGGCTTGCGTTAATATTTAACATTCGGTATCTTCAATCTGATTGGTCGCGCTAAGGTGTCAATATGGTATAGTTTCACCTATAATACAAAAAGATTTCACCCTGGCTATCGGTGATTTTCGCTCCTAATAAATGATAAGAACAGGAACACTAGAAAACAGTCCGTACGACTCAGTCTAAAAGTGAGGCCTATTCGCTACACGCAGTTGTGTTAGTTTTCAAGATCGGTCACTTGAACTACGAGCTTCACAATAAGATGATCATTATTGGTTTGGCTGTAGTGCAAATTAACATAAGTCGTCTTATGGTTTGGGGTAATACTCTCTGATTTCTAGGTGATAATGTATTTATTCGATTGCTAGAGTGTTCGAAGGAATATACTGCTAGGAAGCCTACGAGCACAGTTAATTATCTCTTTGTTAGTCAACGAGTTTCATTAGTTTTCCAATTGGTATCAAGTCACAATGTAAAACATATTGAAGTTTATTTGAACAGACAAAAATACCTAAAACTTCAACTTTTGGATAGTAATCTGTTGTACAAGGAAGAGTTATCAATTTCTTGTACTATATTTTATGATTCAGTCAGTTGTAATCAGTGTAGTGCTTAGCACAAATGTGGAATAGCTGAAGTTACCATACCATATTAGAGATGGTGTAAATACATGACTTTAAACAGGATTAAGCTAAGCAGTTTCAAGTCTCATCACGATTCAAATATCTTTGAGCTATTATATTGGAAATCTACTGGTTTAGATTGTCAACCTTGATACTATGCTGTCGTCGTCCATTTATCAGTAAGTTAATATTTCATTGCTGACCTGATTGACTCTATGGTTATTGACCTTTGGTTAGACATTATTAAAAAGTTCGAAACTAAGACAATATAGCTGAGTCCTGATCTCTAATTTAAAATGACTTAGAATCTGTTGTTAGTTTATGCTGACAATCATCTCTTAATAGTAATCTCAACATTTAAATGATCTTCACAATAAACTCATTCAATAATTACATATTTTAAAACGGCAAAAGTCCCTTTATATACATTTGTAACCGGCATTAAAATATACTGGGAAAGAATTTGAGCTATTTATTCTGATATTTTCAGAATAAAATATGCAGTAAGATTGTCTATTGGTCATGTAATAATCAATCTGAATCAAATTTCGTAGTAGTTAAAACTCCAATCTTACTGATTAATGGCCTTAAATGATAATATTTATTTTGTTCACTTCTTATAGATCTGTAATTATATCGAGGTAGTTTCATAAATCAGAAATCTGACTATCCAATTTCAATATTTCTCACTTTTTTCAGAACATATACGTGTGTTTAATTGTAGATAATCTGAAGTTAATATATTAAGCATGTATAACAACAGATAATTTTATAATCGGTTCCAAGGTCAAACTTGTTTTTATTAACATAACCAATGAATTTTGAACCATATTTTTTGACAGAATTCGTATGGAAGATGAAATTAAACTAATGAAACAACGTAAAGAATTAGAATTACAGTCTATTCAACTCTCAGGTAAATAAAAATAATAAACAAGAAAAAAATTATTTTATTCAAACTGTTTTGTTAATAGAAAATCAGAAAATGCTTGAAGATAAATTGAAAACAATTGAACAACTTAAACAGGAATTGTTAAAACAACAAAACAAATTCACAGAAATGGAGGTAAGCATTGCCCCTTCACTCTCTCTCTCTCTCTCCTAATTAATTGATATTTACCTTGAAGTTGGTAAGAAATAGATATCTGTCACTGATATAATAATTTGTCAGTTGAATTAAAACTGAAAAATAGCGAGCAAGTTAATTTAATGGACCAATTTAGTCCTGTAATTCAAAAGATACATCATGTGTAATTGAATTTCATAAGTTTTATGTTAGTTTCAATTTGTAAATCTCCTAGATGTATGAGAAAACATAGTAAAGAGTGATTAGAACTTGTTACCCATCGTAGTTTTCAAAAAAGGTCACATTAACATCGGATCAGTCTGTCAACTAATCTTGAGACAAATGAAATTATAATTGTACATAATTCTATATGAATATGAAATTCGGTTATTGTATGGCTGACTGAAAAAATCAAGTATCTTTAAAACTGTTAAAACTTGATTGTATGACGTCGATTAATTTCTGAAGGTTTTCAGTTAAAGACATTGTTATGACACTCACCCATCAGTAAATTTTTTATCAGAAATGACAGTGATGACACTACTGTACTTTATTAATTCTGTACTTCCAGTTAACATGCACAGCTTGGATTACGTAACTGTAGTATTAAAAGTGTTTGATGTCTAACAATAAATCTCAAATCTGTTACTCTTACTTTTTTTTTCCATCTTTTGGAACGTTTCAATTTTATTACGTATAAAACTTATTAAATTTCATGATAGAATCAAAAATATTATCACTATTATTTCTGAAATGTTCTATTTAAGATTGTAGGTTATGATACTATTAAATCACAGAATGAAGTGTTCAAAGCTGAAATCTCGAATTTACAAAAGTAATTTATAACGATGTTTTATGTAATATTCTATGCTTATAAAACTGTATTTTATATTGGAAGATAATACTGAATTGTTTGAATGAATAGAGAAAGAAAAGCAATATTCTAAAATCAATCTATTTTTATGATACTATCATGTTGATTTAAAAATTAATCCATCTGTTGTTGCTTCCTCGATTTGGATGGTTTCACTTTTAGTTAGATCATATTGAAATTGTATACATAATATAGTAGTTAACTAAATATTACTGCTGTATGACCGCTTGTACCATTCAGTACCCAATTATCTGCCTTATTTCAGCACTTTCTTGTTAATCATTTACTAACACATATAACTCCTTGCCCCAGCTACTAAAAAGTAAGTACAAACCATGAAAGAAATAACATTGAATAATACATTTAGCCACTCAACTCGAGACTATTTGAATATTAAAATGAATATGTGTTTTACGGAGTCATTTAGTGTGAACTTGTGCTTGACTTAGTTGGTAAGCATATGAAATTCATGGAGAAAAATCTAAATTTCCATGAAAAGCTTTGAAATTTTAAAGTATCAGGTTAAAATGACCTGTATTTCAAGAATGTATTGCGCAAATATATCACATAATTTCGATAACCTTTGTCTTCTCATTGCATTATTGAAATTTATCTTAAAGACTAATTGTTTTATATTTTGACTTGAACTAAAATTGTGACACGTAGAATGAACAAAAGTAGAAAAATACCACCGGAATTACTAAACTTTCATCCCAAACTCGGTACTGGTTATGAGGACATTATAAGTAAGCAAACATACCTTAACTAAGTTTATAGATTTTATCTTCATTACAATTGAATTAGTAGTTTATTGCTTCGATGGTAAGCTAACAGCCAGTTAGCTTTATTCACTTATGCTTTTGCTATAAGCCCTGTGCCATATGTACACTTGCCTATCAAAGATTATGTATTCTACTCTACAATAATATATTATATTCAATCATATACTTTGAGAAATAACTGTTGAATGTGAATAGTATTAGTTAATTTGGCATTTTTCAAAATAAATCTCACATATAGTGAAGTAATCCAATTATCTAAACAACATTTCCTAGAATTGAACAATTAACGTGTATGGATCATATGTTTGTTTTTTCGGTTACACTGGCAAAAAATGAAGTTAATTTTTCTATTAAATTATCATATTTCATCCCCACCTATTGTATTACACTATATGTTATGCTACAGACTATTCACAAAATACTCGTTACTTTAAGGCGTCTGATGGGCACATAATCAATATGAATAAAATAGAAAACCCTTTGACTCATTTTATTTTATTGTTTTAGACAATTGAAAAACTCTTTAACTGAACTAGAAGAACAAAAACAAAGTAGGTCAAAAATCCTTATAATATGATTACTTTTTCATAATGTCTATTGATCGAAATCGTGCTTGTACTTAGTGATGTGCGAATTGTGAAAGTTAAAAGTATGTTTTTTTCACCTATTGTAAAGAGTATCTATGTAAAAAAATATTTGAGGGCAATTATCAATAATTTATATGGAGAGATTTTTCTTTACAAGCAAGGGATATTATGGAGATTGCAATATTTTCAACATTTGAATTCACAAGTCGGTCGAAGTTGGACATTAACACCGTTAGATATTGGCTCGGTGGTGTAAAAGTTAATCGTTCGCGAGCGATGTCGAAGATCCTGTGTTGGGGTCCTTCGTGTGGGATCGTGAACGCGCACTGCTGAGGACGGAACTGCCGTCCAGTGCTTTGAGGTTTTCAATGGTGGTCTGGCTTAGATTTTTCTTTGTTAATACTGATCAACAAAGTTTCTCTACAATATGGAGAAAATCATGTTTCTTTTAAATATTCCTAGGACTTTGAATGCTTTGTTCATAAATGATTGGCAAATATTTTGCACCGGTTAAACTGAAGAAATCGCTTTGAAACTCTTGTACATCAACATTTTGTTAGGGGGTGGAATCATCCGTGTTACGTTGATAGTTGACAAAGTACCTCTGCGCATACACAAAGTCAATCTAAGACATACACAGCTACTCTATTATTGGGGTTCAACAACTGTTTGAATGATTAGTTAAAAGTGAAGCAAACTGTTTATCAGTCGTACGTGCTCTGCTAACTACCCTCAATGATTAGCGTTTTTCGTCTGCAAGTATTGTCAAGGCATAGTTTGCTTATTTTAGCGGTACTAAATAAACGATTTCAAGGTTTTGTTTAGAGTTCTGGACAAACAATCTGTGAGATCGCGAACCTCTAATGGGTAGGCTAACAGAACCTTGTATTACATATGCTAAATAGATCAGAGTACGAGGTTCTGATAAACTAAGGTGTGATTACAAGAAAATATGATATTTTATTAAAGCATTTAACTATTTTGGTTTAGGAATATGTAGGATTGTCAGTTGAGTTGCTTGAAGCAATTGGAGTAAGTGGTTCGAGATCATTAGTAATAATGCATAAAATGAATAATGATGACAAGTATGTATTCTTTATCACCTAACTTCTACATTGTGAACGTCATATTATGGTACTTTTGAAAGTTTCACTTTTAGTATGCCTATCTCTCTTTGCTAATTAATACATCTTGGAGCTCAATACTATAATGTAAGATTCTAAAATTTCCTGACTATTAAAATCAGTTGATGTGACTCCGGTTCCTCTTTGATTTACTTTAATTTTTGTTCCTGGGTCTCTTTTTAGAACATCATTTTGTCTGCTTTGTTTAAGGTCAGTAAGCACTATCATAAGCTTTTTGACTAAAACTGTGAGACGGCAAAACATCTGGTCTATACTTAATAAGCGAATCAAATTACTTTAATTTTATATTGCGAAAATTTATTTTTACAATACTTAATTATATATTTAACTCTAGAAACTACTCAAATTTTTTCAAACGAATTAATAAAATGCAATTGAATTTTTTTTTCCACACTTTACCTACATAGTTACTGCGTCGGCAACAACAGAATTAAGTGTACTCAAAGTTGTTAAACAAGAGACTGAAAAACTAATGAACACGTTGAATAATGATCATACTGTAATCATTCAAGAAAAATTTACATTACAAAAGAAATTAAATGAACAAGTTTGTTTATTTCATTTCATTATTTAATTACATATTTAACATGTTAAAGTTTCGGTTATGAAAAGTTATTATTTAATTGGATAATTATTTTATTTAAATATTACAAATTTTGAAAAGGTTAGCTGTTACGAAGCTCGTAATATCATCATTGTCTTTGCTTAATTTGAAGTTTGTTGCAATTTTATCAAAGAAGAATTCACACATATACTAATGTAATTCCCGTTATCGTGTATTATTAGGGATTCAATCGACTCATGATCTCAACTATTAAAATTACTATGATATCCACAAAACCCTTTCTGATATCAATCAGCATATACTCACTATTGACTGGCTCCAAGAGGTATTTCCTGGAGTTCTAGTGAGAAGCAGTGACTAGTGGAGTTTAACCAGGTCGGTTGTGTGATAGTAACTCACTGATGACAGTGATGGATGTGTCGCTCAATTTCGTGGATTGGTTGAAGTTAGACATTAATACCGTTGGATGCCGGCTCAGTGGTTTAGTGGTTAAGCGCTCGCGCGCGAAACTGACAGGTTCTGGGTTCGAATCTCGGGAGTCGGGGTCGTGGATGCGCACTGCTGAGGAGTCCCACAAAGGAAGAAACGGCCGTCCAGTGCTTCGAGGTTTTCCATGGTGATCTAGCTTCAATTGACTCATGATCTCAACTATTAAAATTACTATAATATCCACAAAACCCCTTCTGATTCATGTATTGATCAATTGAATAAATCATTAAGATCATGTTTATCTCACTAACGACATTTAATAGATTACATATTACCATGAAAATTATGTTTTATATTGTCCGCTGTAGGACAGGATTCTAGTTGGAAGTCACTTTGTCTTGTATAACGTTTATTGTACAGACCTGGTCTGGACTAACAAACAACGGATGTTCATATGAATTCTGTTTTCAGTTTCATTTATTTTCAAATGGAGGATGGTAAAGTTGTTCGGGTGGACAAGCATAAATAACGTGGCAAATAGCATAAATGTTAATCGATCTAAATGTGTTGTAATATTTCATATCGTCACAGTAATGATAGTAATAACTTTATTTTACGTCATATATTTGATTCCGGTAAAGAGTTCACAGTAAGAATTATGTAGAAATGCAACAAAATTGTCGTTTAGTATTCATTCAACTTGTGAATATTCAAAAAACCTACACGAATAGCTTTTAAGCAGCGACTAGCCGTAGTTCATATTTATTCGTAAATTTTTACGATCAACATTTCACCAATGATATCACTAAATGTATTGAATCTATAAATTCAACAGCGATTGTATCTTGTTTCTCCAAAGGATGAAGGAGAACAAACTGTCGTTGTGGCGACTGTTAAATCTCTTAAAAATCAGATGTATGATAGGTTGTAAGGTTTTTCTATACAGGGGCATAAAGTACACGGGCTTAGCAAATATAATTATTTGGTTAAACCAAATTCAAAACAAGTAAACGTTCCTGATGATAGATCCATATTTGGGAAAACAGCGGCCCAGAAATTTCAGCAGGCTATTCTAATACTATAATTAAAGAAGAACTGTAATAATAATGAATATCACTCGCGGTGGTAGAGCTCGAAATATTGAATTTATTTCAAAAGAAACAAATAGAATTCAACAATTCAATGTATAAAATAATATTTAAAAAAAGCTCAAAATTTCAAAAAGAAGACAAAAAAGAATAATTCCGCTCTATTGGAATTATTTTTATGCCATGCTACCGAAATTCTTCAAATGTAGATGAGGATTACCTCGTCGACCATAGTCAATAATTCTACATGTGCTTTATTATTATTCACCAACTGATTAATTCAACATAAGAATCGTACGGAACAAGTTCATTTCCATAACTATACAGCTGCACGTATACGTGTATATAGGACTGTAAGCTTTTAAATAAACTATATCTTTATTGAAATATATAATAAGTTGTGATTAGAATTTGATCCCCCTATTTTTAATTAAATACAAATGGGAATGATCGAAAACTTCAAATGAACAACATGTGAAAAGAGCAAATCAGTTATGCAATTCTCTGGAGATTATTTCTTTATTTTGGTTTTACAGTTATCATTAGTTTATAAATTACCATCAGTTATAAAATGTAAACAACTAATTTCTCAAAAGCATTTTTTTTCTAAAAACAAATTAGAAAAATGAAATATACGAACTAATGGAACGTCTTAGTTCATATGAAGGTGGAAATAAACAGAATCATGCACAAACTACTGAAGTTTCCTCTGTGGATCATTGGTCTACAGTAAATCAGAATCTAAACAATCCGCAAATACTAACTGAAGCTGAACGTCGTTCAGTTTATGAAGGTAATCTAAAATTTTGTTTTATTTTAATGCTCAATTTTTACTCATCTTCAGCGGTATTTTAATTTTTTCAGTTGTCATGGTGTTTTCTTAGTTCATAGTTTTTAACGACTCGTGTTTAAATCTATTGGGATTTGTTATAGTAAGACACTGATCACATTCTAGATGCCTAGATATTCTGTCGGAACCTCAGAAATATTTATTTAGCTGAATTATGGAGACATGTTGAATTCAAGATAGTATTCTATGTTGATTGACAGTAGTCTCAGAAGACAGCTGATAACTAGTTAGCTCTGGACAGTTGTTTTCACTGTGAATATCATAAGTTCAACTCCTTTATAAAAAGTAATTGTGCTACATTAGCAAGCCCCAAACTAGAATGAAACTTGTTTCCAGTTCACTCTGGTTTTAAATAATCTTTTGGTTGATATCTGTGATGTTAACTATACTGAAAGTTGCTTTTCAGAACAGTTTCAAACATAGGTAGTGATACAATATAGGAATATGCTACCTAGAATTTTGTCAATAATCCGAAATATCAACTGAACACTTTTTTATTATCTGGTGATTACTGAAGTTATATTGTGTTCTGCTGACAAATACTCTTCACTTAAAGAATAATTATTCTAACTGTATATTTTTTCACTTATCACTTCCTAACATAACTGACACAAAATTTATATAGAAAATCAACACTTTTACTATCAGAAATAGATTGCAAAGCATAAATCAATAATAAAATGAAGTCAAATTAACTGGAACAAGTAAACAGTGATCCTCAGATATATAAAGATCACACACACGCACAGTAGTAAATAAATTTCATGGGTTGGCATAATGACTGTTGTCAATAGCGAATTCGCCGTTTATCGGTGTTCACCTAATTAACATATGATATGCGTTTTTTGCAATCAATAGATGTCATAGTATATTGAGAATTATGCCTCAAGAAACTATTCTTTTCGAGCTGCATTCAATAAATACACAGTCCTCAACTGTTTATACAAGCAACATGCCCAGGGATGCTATTAAAATAAAATTAATTTGATGAATAATCCTCTTTCTTTTTAAGTAGTAAAATAAACGAGTAAAGTTATCTGAACAAGGGACTGTTGACTAATCTTTATTTAGTGATATGAATTGTTCAGGTAAACGTAGATGAATTTATGTTTGAGCACAATAATATCAGTCGGTTACTCATAGCCAACGTATGACCCGACATGAATGTATATTGATTCAAGCATGTCGAGTGATAATCGTCAAAAAAGAAATTAACTGTAGTGTTAAACTCAATTTTAGATATGTAATTACAAAAAGATAGATGAAGTCGGAGAACGAAAGTTATGGAATGACATGAAGGCGAAATATTATATAAACTGGGTTTAGTTTTTGTACTGTTTTCTGTCCTATAAAAACAATTGATACTGGAAAAAAGATTACACATAGAATTAGTTAAAATCTAGAATCCCTGAAGAAACTATATATATGGCTACTTGATAATTTTTCAAAGATTGTTATGTTCTCAAACCCTTTTCGACGTCCCATGTGATTAAGTCAAACTGGTTTAGTCTTTTGTAATGGTTGTTTGGATTTTCCCATTGTTTGGGACTACAATTGATCAGTCTCTTTTGGCATATATATATATATATATATATATATATATATATATATATATATGTATCCTGTGCGGCTTACCTCGGTATTGCCATTATAATTTTGAACATCAGTGGAGAGATTCAAACAATCAATGCAAATGCATTAAAATTCACCCCACTGCACAAGGCAGTGGCTATCTGAACTCAGTAGCTAAGTGAATCAAAGTTTGGCTTATGGAGCGTAAAGTACAGGAGTCGAATGAACTATAGGATGCAGGTACGTCCAGCTTATGAGTCCCAACTTTGGGGAAACGCGCGTCCTAGATTCCACTGTTATCCATAATCTAAATCCACTTTAGTCCATGTTTTCGTGCATAAATGTTTGCAAGTACATGCTAGTTAGTTGCATATAACTGCACTTGTGATAAAACAACTTAAATTAAGTACAAAAAATTATGAAACCCTCGAAACATTTAAAACGAATAGGAAATTATGGTAAGATGATATATATGTAACCCATTGAAATGATCACAAAATATACGACAAATAAATGGATTTAGTATATGATCAATTCACTGGATTCCAGTTACTGTTCGATACTCATTTTTATTCAGAATTTCAGAATGGATAGTTAAAGATTATATTATTGCAGTGAAGAGTAGTTTTAGAGAATGTATTAAAATGATAACCCAGCAAATTTGATAAAGTTATTATTATTCTCTCAATATGAAATGGGGGAAAGTTGTTGTCACGATACTTAATAACTCCATAAAAGTCTCACATGTACAAAATCTTAAGTAGAGTGGAAACTATTTCAGAGATTTTTGTCGACTACCTTCAATAATATAATACCAAATTAATATATAAAATGTGATTGTTAATATTAGATCTAAAGATATCAAGAATACTCAGGGTTTGACAGCGCTTTTGTCCGTAACGATTTTATAATCCAAAGATCTCAAGCTAGTCGAACCAGAATTCAGGAATGAACGGGTTCGAAGATACATTTGGAAGGTATTCAATATGTTAAGAAGTGTTTGATCCAAGCTGGCTAGTTGTTTTGGTAGGCACGTAACACGACGTACCCGATGTTGATCTGGTGCGGATGAGTGACCGCAGGCCTTCAGCTAGGATCTTTTTTGTTAAACTAATGGGATCAACATCACTGTCCAAGTCTTATAGAACATTTTATTTTGGGGATTTAATTAATGCTACAGATTCAATGTAGACAATTTATCATTAGGTGTTATGACTTTATACAATGACTTATACAATCTTAGCACTGTGCCAAACCAATGACGTTTGACCGGTGTGGGGAGTCTAGCGTCCTTATTGGTCCTATGTCCGCCTAGCCCGTCCACTTGAGTCCAGAACAACAATACCAGCTTCCAGTATACGAATCGAATAATTTATTTCCGACATACTGGGCTTATATATCAACCAAACAGATCGCGACGCACCATAAAATAAGAAATAACATTTTTACACAAAGTGGCTGTGAACGTGGGAGGCAGTAGGTAATAAACTGAGCATAATTTAGGGACAGTAAATCGTACAATAATAAATCATAGGTCAAAATGAAGCTTATAATAAGAGGAATATAAATATACATAATCTAATTGTTGAATAATTATACCATAAGAATGTATAGATAATATTAGTCAATTAATATGTCTCAGAAGTTACTCGTGATTTAATCTTCGCTCGAATATAACATTAGGTACATTGAAACTTGAAAATAAATGGCGGCAAATATATCAATAAATGTAATCTCTTTGTATAATATTTGGCTTTAGCAATCCTAGCTCAGCGTACGTCATTGTAATGAGATGATTTGACTGAAGTATTTTCTGATTGCTTTGATGTACTTTGAAGTAAAATCGAATAAATTGGATGATATAATCACTTTCTGACTGCATAATTTATTGTGTCTTGCAATATTTTCTATTTTTCGATGGTACTGTTGAAGAATGCAATCTTTCTATTTCGAGTGACCTAAGTCATGAAAGTTTGATTGATACTAAGAAGTCTGGAAAGTCATTCACTGTACCTATTCAGTTGTCAACCGATTCCAAATTTGATCATTGGTCAAAGCGTTTAGAATTATCACGTCGGCGTATGACACAATTACAATTAGTTAATGAAGAGTTTGACTCAATTTATGAAGAATGGAAATCAGTTGATTTAAAAGAATTTTTATCGAAAATTCATAGTGATTTACCGAGTTTCCTAAATGCTCATGAATTAAATCAACCAGTTAAATTGAAAGAAGACAACTTATCCGACCAAAATGTCATGATAAATAAAGATACTAAATCCGATCCTGTGAAGGTAAGTTTATTTTTCAATGCCTTATAGATTTGAAAAAATGATTGAAATGTACGTTCAGAAATATTTACAACCCAAACGTACTCACGCTAACATCAATCGTCAGAAATTTTTTTCATTTGTGAGTGTAATGATTAAGAAAACATTTTTTCGAATAGATTTTTATACAGAACCGATTGGAGGTTCACATCTCCGCTTTAACAACTTTTAAACATTCTACTATAAGGCATACTCACAAAATATCCATTTCCTTCTAGATTGAAAGCTGATATTTTCTTGCACACCATGCCAAAGCTTTCCAAGTAATTATTTAGGATCGTTATAAACGTTTACAGGTTTAGATTATTTTCATTAATTTTTAGTGATGTAGTAAACATGATTATTTTAGTCATTTGTTGTTATTAAATTTGTTAATCAATTTGCATAATTGTGTTAAGAGCTTCTCGACAATCTACAGTCTTTTGACTTAATGAAAACCTATAGTCGAGTTAATTGACTTACCATTCAGTTCAGTAGAAATATAACTCACTGAATAAGTTTAATGCACGTATTTGAAATAATTATTGAAAAACCTAGTCCGACTTTATTGATTTTCAATATAAGTCAGTAGCATGTTTAGATTCATGTACATGACTTCCAGTCAAACTTTATATGGGAAGTCTAGTAATACTAAACAGCTCTTTGAACCGAATTAGGTGGAGCAGAATCAAAATCTGGATCATAATGGTTAAAAACGACTCATTTCAATCAATAAACTACTGTTCTACTCGCTGTAATTTCACATCTAATTTGTAAAAGACACTTAAAAAAACAGTCACAACCTATGACAGACTAATCAATGGAAATTAGATTAAACAATTCTCAACAATATTATCCCCTTAAATTTGAAAAATTCTTTCTAAAGAGCAACCCTTGGTCTACGCTCATCATAAACTAACGACGAATGACAAACAGTTAAGAAATGTTTCGTACGATAACATTCTTCATTTTTCATACATTTTAACCAAATATAAAAACTATTTTCTTGTTTTACAAAGGAACAACCTGTTAACTGTAACACATTTTTCTCCCTGAAACTTGACAATGACCACAATTATAATCCAGTTTCTACATCCCCAATCGTAAGTTAACATCAACTTAAAGTGATGTGATCAAATTATTGTTGATATTTTAAAGAATGATGTTATGTTCTAATAAAACATCGACGTTCCACAATTTGAAAGTTTGTATCTGCTCCCTGAAAAACTGTCGATAGAATAGAAAAAACATTTGTGATAGATTTATTTAGGTTAGAAAAATAGGACATGTTATTCAAAGTTTATCAAGTAATCAACTTTGGGGGTATATAGACTAACTGTGTGGAGAATGTATTGTGTAATGTTTTGGAAAAGCAGGCAAAAGCGCAATGTTTTATCTCCTTTTCTCACCATTTGGTAAAATTTATATCTTTCCCAAAGTCCATCAACGTTTCCCCAAACGTCTCACGTATTCCTCCAAAATATCTCTTCTTTTGTCTGAATTCTTTTTGTATTTTCCGAAAGCTTGCTTTTGTTCCTCAAATTATTCCAAAATTTACTAGTTTATAAAGTTGGACAGCGATTGTGGTGTATAACAAATTGACTGAAATTGGATTTTTAGACCATAGTGTTTCAACATAGTTGTCCAAAAGTACTAGAACTTTAGAGTAGACCTGATGACTCCAAGTTCGATCCTGTATGTGAAGTCGTGCATGTGGATTGCCGAAAAGCCTACTATTAAAATCAAACATTTTTTGAATAAAACTGTTTCTTGATTAGTCGTAAAATCCAGGACATGTGTTTCGTACTGTTTGGGATTCATCTGATGGGAATGCCTGCATCCAATTGTTGATTTTCGCATTGATACTGAGACCTACCAACCATCATTTTAAAAACCAACGCGTTATTCACCAAGCCAATTACTCAATTTAACCATTTACGTATCCAACGAATATCGGATTCATTTATAAGGGTTTACCTTTCCACATGAGGCTCAGGGTTCTCTGAATTTCAATGGTCGTTCAGTTGATATAAACCTGCGACGGAAGCTAACTCTATCTTACATAACATCTTCATAAAATACTTAAGTAAACTTACAGTGGTGTAGAAATTTCTGATAAGAATAATGTAATTCAGAATAACGTATTAATCACAACCAGTTGGTAATACCACTTTATATATAGAAAATCTGGATTAAGAGTAAACGAATTAATACTATGCAATGAGCTTATGTAGGAAAAGCTGAAGAAGTTCATGAATCTGTAAAAGCATAATTGATTTCCGATAATTGGTTTGCACTTTTAAAATACTAATCTTGTTTCAGAACCATTTTACGTAACATAATTTGACACTTGGCGACTTTAATAACTGATAGGTAAAACCGTGTTGTTGTTATTGAGTTAATCAGAATCAGGACAGCAAACTTCACAGCGAATTCACAAAGAAATGTAAATATAATTAGGTATAGAACGAGGCAACGCTGAAAATCACTTTCCAGTTAGTTTTTTACGATTCTAAAATTGTCAGGAAAAAGTTTTTTGTGCATTGCCGGAATGAAAAAGATTGTCAATCCGAAATGACACTAAATATTTATTCTGTATGTCAGCAATTGTGTTTGACAACGTAAATCATTGAGAATTCGTTGTCATTTGGTTCGTCTAATGTAAACTGTTTAGCAAATCACGTTAATGGTATCATTAAAAACAGATTAGGATTCCCACATATCTAGAGCCGTTTGATAAACATTCTAGCAAGTTACAAATAAATAAATAATATATTTGTAATATCCTAATGAGTAGAAAAATTAGATTTTCTGACGTCTCGTGACTTAGTGTAAGCCACTTATTCAGAGAATAAATAAATAACCACATCAAAATTAATCCAGGTTGCACAAAAAATTCATGGCGGTTATGTGAAGTGTTTCTTAGACTTTTTAGCTTCCTAGATTATTCCAAATGATGACTGTTCAGAAATCATATGAGTGAGTTTTCTACCTAAAATCCTCTTGTTGAAAAGAAAATGTCAATCATAAGCCTTGAGAATTTCTGAATTATTGTAAAAAGGCTATATGCATCTACTTTTATTATTATACTAGCAAACATTTATTTAATTAAAGTGTATGTGACATTAAAATGTTATCACTATTGTCCGGAATATAATATTTAAACAACTTATATAATTTCCAAATCAAAGATAATGATTTCAAGTGCGTTAAACAGAAGTTTGACATCCAATTGATACTATAGGACAGCACAAGATTTGATTAATTACCGGCTGAATCAATCATAAAGTATGCTGGTTGTTTGTGCGATAATTGAAGTAATTTAAAGTAAATTATAGATATTCACTGCAAAGTACTTTTTGTGAAGACTGTAAAAATCACTGAATGCACCGTATGTCTATCAATGGAGCGTACTTATTCTGGCTTTTATTTTGTTGGTAGATACAGTTAACATTCAAGTTCTGTGGCTGCAATATTCATGTGAGATCTATTAGAAATACGTCTTTGTTACTTACTTACTTACTTACTTACGCCTGTTACTCCCAATGGTGCATAGGCCGCCAACCAGCATTTTCCAACCCACTCTGTCCTGGGCCTTCTTTCCTAGTTCCATCAAATTCTTGTTCATTTTTCTCATGTCTATTTCCATTTCTCGGCGTAATGTGTTCTTTAGTCTTCCTCTTTTCCTTTAGCCTTGAGGATTCCATGTGAGGGCTTGTCTTGTGACGCAGTTGGTTGCTTTCCTCAATGTGTATCCTATCCACTTACAGCACTTCTTCCTGATTTCTTCCTCCGCTGGGATCTGGCTTCTTCTCTCCCACAGTACGTTGTTGCTAATAGTGTCCGGCCAATGGATCTGAAGTATTTTGCGTAGACAACTGTTAATAAACACCTGTATTTTCTGGACGACGGCTTTCGTAGTTCTCCAGGTTTCCGCCCCATACAGTATAATTGTGTTGACATTTGTATTGAAAATCCTGACTTTAATGTTGGTTGACAGTTGTGTTGAGTTCCAGATGTTCTTCAATTGTAGACATGCTGCTCATGCTTTGCTGATCCACGCTTTCATATCTGCATCAGATCCACTCTGTTCATCAATGATGCTGTCCAAATATGTAAAGGTTTTTACATCTTCCAAATCTTCTCCGTCAATTGTGATTCGATTGTTGCATGTTGTGTTGTATTGGAGGATCTTGCTTTTCTCTTCGTGTATGTTAAGACCTACTGTTGCTTAGGCTGCTGCTACACTGGTCGTCTTCTCCTGCATTTGTTGTTGCGTGTGCGATAAAGGAGCCAGATCATCTGTGAAGTCTACGTTGCCCAGCTGCATTCTAGCTGTCCACTGTATCCCATGCTTCCCGTTAGATATTGACGTCTTCATGATCCATCCATTAGATCACCAGGAGAAAGAGGAAGGGTGAGAATAAGCAACCTTGTCTGACACAGGTTTTTGCTTCAAACGAGTCTATGAACTGTCCTGAATACACAATTTTGCAGTTTAATCCATCATATGAATTCTGTATGATATTGACTATCTTCTCTGGCACGCCGTAGTATCGAGGAAGCTTCCATAGTGTTGTCCTGTTCACGCCATCAAATGCTTTTTCGTAGTCAATGAAGTTGATGTAGAGTAATGAATTGCATTCAATTGATTGTTCCACAATGATCCGCAGTGGTCTGTACACGATCGATCCTTACGGAATCCAGCCTGTTGGTCTCGAAGTTGGGCGTCCACGGAGTCCTTCATTCTGTTTAACGATACCCTGTTGAAGACTTTTTCTGGTATGAAGAGAATAGTGATGCCTCTGTAATTATCACACTTGCTGAGATCGCCTTTTTCTGGTATATTTATCAGGTGTCCTTATTTCCAGTCTGTTGGTACTTGTTCTTCATCCCAAATCTTGCCGAAGAGAATGTGGAGTATCCTTGCAGTTACTGTAACGTCTGCTTTTAGTGTCTCTGCTTGAATGTCGTCTGGTCCTTCTGCTTTACCTCTCTCGATTTGTCTGATGGGCATGCTGATTTCTCCAGTTGTTCATGGGCCAACATCTTTTAGAAGGTCCGTGGGTGCTACTTCGATGTTGAGTGAATTCAGTGGAGCTGTTCGATCCAAGAGTTCTTTGAAGTGTTCTACCCACCTGTTTCGCTGTTCTTCAATGTTGGTGATTATCTCGCCTTACTTGCTTTTCACTGGTCGTTCTGGTTTGCGGCGATTTTCAGAGAGTTTCTTTGTTATGTCATACAGTTGTCTCATGTTTCCTTCTCTTGCAGCCTTTTCCACCGTCACTGCTAGATCTTCCACATATTTACGTTTGTCGGTTCTGATGCTCCTCTTCACTTGTTTGTTTACTTCTGTGTATTCAGCTTGTGCCTTGGCTTTTTCTGCTCTTGTTCGACTGGTATTGATTGCTGCTTTCTTGTTCCTCCTTTCTTGAATCTTATCCAGTGTATCAACAGTGATCCATTCCTTGTGGTGGTGCTTCTTGTGGCCCAGAACCTCATGACATGTTGAAGTGATTGCCCTTTGATCCCCTTTCAGTTGCTCTCCACAGTAGTTCCTTCTCCATTGAGTAGATCTTAATTCAAAGTAAGGAAAAAAGTGCTTTTGTTTCATTAGTTTATTCAATTACTTACACCAAGAACAACTCGATTTATGTACTGGATATGATTACCATGTTAACGTGTACGGTAAACATTCACCTAATAAATAAGAACAAAATGTGAAATAATAACAAATATTAAATAAAAACTCTGAACTTGTTCACAGTGATTGATAACTTGAACTCAAATGGCTTATGTAAACTATGCAGATTATTTTTAAGTTATATTTGTATAGTAATCTGAATCATAGGCACTTTTGGAATAAAGGTTGATACACTTCATTTAGGGCAGAATTTTTCATTGCTCCATTAAATAACACTCAAAGTAGATTGAATGAGTAGAGTATTTAAAGTTTCCGCATATGAACCATTCTCACGATTAGTTTGAAATTCTAGCAAAAACAATGATAACGATAACATAAATTTGGTTAGGAATGAATTCTAACCAGTACGTTTTGTTTATTTTTCTACATATATACCTAGTATTACTTACTTGCTTACTCCTGTTACCCCTCGTGGAGAAGTATAGGCCTCCCACCAGCACTCTCCATCCAACCCTGTCCTGGGCAATCCTTTCTAGTTGCTTCCATTTCCCAACGTAGTATGTTCTTCGGCCTTCCTCTTTTATGTTTCCTTAAGATTCCAAGTTAGGGCTTGCCTCGTGATGCAGTTTAGTGATTTCTGCAATATATATCCCATCCACTCCCAACGTCTTTTCCTAATTTCCTCTTCGATTGGTGGCTGGTTTGTCCTCTCCGACAGAAGGCTGTTGCTGACGATATCCGGACAATGGATACTGAGTATTATGCGTAGACAACTATTTATAAATACTTGTACCTTTTTGATGATGGTTGTAATAGTTCTCCACGTTTCAGCTCCATACAGTAGGACTGTTTTGGCGTTCGTATTGAAGATTCTGACTTTGATATTGACTTACATTTATAGTTATTCTGAGTTCTATAACATGGTATTAGATGTTGCATATGGTTTTTATGAAATTGTCGGTAAGGTTCAATAAAAAATTGAGTTCTAAGTTTAAAAAAATTTCTTTAAATTTATCAAATGAAATAAATAATCTTAACTATCTTACATCAACCTAATAAAAACATATTTAGTAAACAATTCGATTACGTTTGTTGTATTTCAACACGTTTTTATAATGAAGAAAGGAATTAAATGTTTGGAAGTTGATCGAAGTCAAAATAATCAAATGTGAATAACTTTAAATTTGATTACCAAATGAATTTATTTATCATTTGAAATATAACTAAATATATGAAAATGAATTGCAAATTACAGATCTTATTCACCATAGCCTTTGATGATTTATGTGTGAGTGTATACTTCTGTTAGATTTCATTATGAAATGAAACAATAAATCAGTATCACCCCCTCTTGGTTTACAGTAGTTATCTAACTTATGTTAGTCTACGATAAAATTCTCTGAAATGAATAAATTTCCATTAATCATCTGTTTAAATTGCATAAATGATTTGAGTTTTTGTTAATAAGTGAATAAGATTATTCATTTTGAGATACGATGATATTCCCTTCGACATTATTGAATTCTTTATAAAATGTACTGTATGTACATTCGTATGTTCACTTTTGTTAGATATCCTTTATAATGTTTTGTTATTGTAATGACGTTTTTTTCCTCATTTTGTGCAAATATAGCATCATAATCCTCTTGATCAACAAATTGAAATGAATCCATGTCATGAGAATGAATATCTAGCCTCATATACTAAAGCTAACTCAGAATCAAAGTAGGTACTTTTTTTCTTAAGAATCGACTTTGTAAAGATTTCTTGTGGTAATTTTTATCACTCAGTATCTGTTTGTATATTTTTAGCTGAGATAATTTCTACTAGAGATGTTTTGATTTGTCACGCAATTTTGTAAACCTACTAGCCGTTAGTATAACTCGAGCGAAAATATCATCATGAGTGTGTACAGCATTATCAAAAATGTAAATCTTCATTAATAAACTGTTTTATAACATAAAGTTAAATGATTCTTTTAAACAAACAGACACCTGATAAAAATGATCTGATTACCTTTGTCAATCTTTCTAATAAACTACCGCTGCATTATATAATCAGCACTAAATGTTTACTCCTAAATGGATAACCGAATTCATTTAGTTTCCTCGAAATACATTACTCCACTTAGTGAGAACCTCAATCACCAAGATAGATGCCAGTGTAAAAAGGAGAACCATTCATATAGTCAACAGTGAGTTATTGGTTCTAGATTAATGCTGTCCCTTACAATAAGGGGTCACTGTTCATCTATAAGCTACAGTTGTGTCTTCCTTTAACCATCTTATTTGTTATTTATGGTTGTCTATCTGACCTCCGTGATGTGTGAGGAGTCAGTGTCTTGAATCTAATTGTTCATCAAATAATCCATAAGGCTGCATGAAGATTCAAATGCTATTCATAGACATTTGATTGTTATAAAAAGTTAAAAGTTCTTTATATTCACCAGTCTGTTAAGGTGTATCACTAATAACGTGGTTTGTAGCTAAGCTACAGAAACATCAAACGTAGTCGACAATTACTTGAACGATCAGATAAAATGAAATACTTCATTTCGATGTAGTTTCTTTAAAAATGTACCACAATCTATGTATACATGTTTTACACACACAGTTCTGGCTGATTTTCGAGATGAATATTTATAATTGATAAAACATTTGAGAAGTTAGGTCTTATTCCTAATGAAAATTAAGTTCTTTTGAGCTTCGTTATTTGTAACTAACACTTATGTTTCAGAATTTTTTGATATTTATCTACGTATTAACTACAATGTTAAGTATTCGGCTTATTATTATTTAAACTATTATTATAATGTATCTGTTCCACGTATTCAAGGAATGTGAAGATAGGATTTGAACAGAATAATCAAAATGCACAAATTCATTCCAGTGCAAGAATTATACCTGATTTTTCAGCCAGTTCATCCAGCATAGACACACCAAAATCAAAGAAATTAGGTAGATTGAAATGATTGTATTGAAATTTTCATAAAATTTCATTATTTATTTCAATAATTAATTAATAATTATTACCAATCAAATGAATTTAATGTTGGTTAACTGTGCAATTTCACATTATTTGAAGATCTCAACCAAAATACCTTTTTTTATTTTATAACTGTGACTGATATATCTTATACTTCTTACTTTAACTTAATGGTGAACCGTAGAGGATTTGGAATAAATGTGTGTCTTCTCAGGTTTACACACATATTGGTATAAAGGGAGGAAATTTTCAGTATGAGTGCCATACATTGAGCTTCTGCTTAGATTTTAAGTTACAGTTATTAATTTTCATTAAAAAAATGTAAATAACTCAATTTCACTCGAAATAACGGAGGCAAAAAACATTGGATACTATTTGTTTATATATATTAGAATCTGTACTGATGTTACTTCATTTTATATGGAACTTCCAACTCATTACAAACTGGTTAAATGCATGTTATTAACCTAAATTTGAACTGGATTCTTTTGAAATTGATTTTGGCAGGTAAACTTGATCCGAAACTATGGACTATTTATTTATTTGAATTTGTAAAAGGACTGCGTGTTAACTGTTAATAACAAATTTGTTTTCATATGACCGACATTTAAACTGATAATCACGTATATACGTAATTTTAATCTGCATACAGATATAAACAAAACTAGGTTTGTTTTATTAACCACTTATCGCTCGTATAACACTTGAAAATTATCGTGCAAATACTCCATGTGCCTGAATATTGAGACTAAAGACAAACATTCTTTGTTGATGGACTAAATCGCTATATGGATGTTATACTCAAAAATTAAACTTGTAAAACATTATATTTATTGATATAAATCAATCCACTGTCCTTATTTACATTCATCACAGACATTCTTTTAGAGACATTCTCTCATCGTTTAATTTTTCAGGGATTGATTTCGTACTAGAAAATTCATTTGTTGACTTAGGATATATAGATAACAGTCCATTCTGATGATGAAGCTAACAAAAGTCTTCTGATTGCATTTGATAACAATACAAACATGTTTTGGATGAGATTCTCTCCCTTCGAACCTAAAATGTTGCTTCAGGACTGTATCAATGCCTCAACTAATGATAGGGAGTGAAGTATTTCAGTGTTTTGACCACTTCACTTGACTTGTAGGTCTCGTCAGCCCTAATGGGTTGGTGTCCGACAAAATCTCGTTACGGTTTCACAAAGATCAGCTGGTCTTGGTCAACTCGTGTCACATGTGCTGTAGGAGAAATGTCTGTTTGCCAACCAAAGGACGAGTTTATTGCACAGCAGTGCACTACGTTTTACTTTATAGGTGTGAAAGATGAGCATTAAGAATAGATGACATTTTGGGGCTACCAGTATTCGATCATAAACGTATTTGAAGGGTCATTCGTACATTTATGGACCATGGAGTGGGCAGTCTTCAAGTTAGGGACAGAGTACTAGGTAAAGATGGAGAGTCGATCGATGAGGTGTAAAATACGACAATGGGAAGAAGGAATGGATATTTTTTCCGAGAAGTAATAAGTATTTACATAATACATATACATAGCTATCAATCGTCGATTTGCATCTTTCGGTGTGTTCTGCTGTCTGAACTGTCTTCTTGTCTGGTCTTCAAGTGTTCATTCAACACCATGCTTTCGATGCACTGACCCTTCACTTCGTTTAACAATTGTTGCAACTTCAGTGCCATGTTCCACTACACACTACTTACAAACACCCTTGTGAGTAGCCTCCACTACAGAGGCAGTAATTGTTTGTCGGCTGGGGTGGTTGGGAAGTGTTATATATACTAATCACTGTCTACCTCGGCGCGCGATGTTGTCTGGTGTAGGAGTATTTCAGAAGAAAGCCATGAGAGGACAAACCAAGGCTCGACATCAGTCCATGTGTGGTTCACGCTACACATGAAGTCATTGACTGTTGTACTGAACCATGTCGGTGTATGAAGATTAAATGGTTGGGTTGCGCATGATAATTGTAACCAATGGTTGCAGACTTTGGATAAAATGAATCCACTCTTTATCTTACCTTAGTTCCTGATTTCTGAAATATACTCATATTTTTCTTTCTACACCTAATCATTTATGCTAGTACAGATATTGCTACAACTTCTATCATGAGATTTATCTTGATATTTTTTAACTCGCTATCCTAATCTGATGTAGTAAGTTGGACCGACGCATATGTGTCAGGTTTTACGTTCTATACGACTAACTGATTAAAGTTATTCACAATAAACTAAGGTATGTATTAGCTGTTGAGGTCCGTTGTAAAAGTGTTTACTCTGACGACAACGAGGATACGCCAACTCAACCTTAACTACTTCCAAACAATTCTTGAAACGAAGAACTTCAGATTACACTCCAGTCCGATTGTGGACCGATGACACTGATTATTCGATACAGGAATTATCAAACCAAATAACTTCATTGAACGCGAATTCCATATTTAATTAATACAATAAAATATACTGGAAGTCAAATTAACCAAATTCATACTAAATGATATACGAAAATTAACTGGATGAAAACTTTACTTATAATCAACAAATAATCTCTCTCTCAATATATATATATATATATATATATATATCATAACCAAAGTAAAAACTAGATATAAATGGATCTAAACTTCATTCCAACTGAAGTCGTATTTCAGTGGTTTTACGAAGCTGTGAGAATGTCTCTGATTCTGAAACTGCATCACATTATTTTACATATTCTTTCGGAAAATGAACTTTTTATGATTTGAGATACACCTTTTTTGGTTCGTGTAGTCGAGTTGCAAAGTTAGTTACAGGTCTTCCTGTCAATCACTCTCAAATACCTAACACCAAATAACATTGTGACTTCCTATAACGTGAACTGATGGCTTCAATTTAAAATTCACCAATAGAATTCATAAATATGACACTGAATAAGAATCAGCTATCGATTAATGTAAGCTGATACATCGATTTTTAGACAAAAACTATTAAAGAACATAAGGTTATTTTTCTGTTATTTTTCTACAAACTGGTCTGCCTATTAGATATATCCATCTTTTATTGTTCTTTTTATTTTTGGTCAATAACATGTTGGATCTAGATGGCTACGAACATGTTGTTAGTTTGATAAATATATGTGGTCCGCCACATGTTTCACATCAATTCAATGAATACAGGAGAAATAGATTTACCAATTAAAATGAAAGACAATGTTGCAGGAAATTTTAAAAGGAACACTGACTTTACACAATGATATTTATTGAATCTGTTATGTTTGAGCACTGAGCCCATGAAATCCCAAACAGATTCTAAGTCGCTACTATCAGGTCAAACAAATAAATTAACAGTAGCTCGACAGAAGATCCACTTCAACTTTAGTTCTTGTATAAAAACAAAAGTCTGTTTATATTGTTATGAGTAAACGTGCAGTTTTTTTATTTAGAATTTACATCAGAAATAGAAAAAAACTCATAATACTGGTGAATAGAAAAAAGTAACATTTAACTCGTTTAAAATTTAGTATCCTGTCGTTTTTCTTAACTGATAACATGCTGGTTTAGTCAAACAGTAGGGTAAGATCATTGCATTATATGATCAAATACTGGATTATAGTTGAAATCGTTTTTTTTTAATTATCACAACCTGTGGATTATACATATTTCGTGATGAATCTGTTTTTGTGTGATCAAATATAATATCATACGAATTGGTTGTTGTTCAATAGTAGATAGAATTGTTCTGAAATTATCATTGTACTTGATCAATAAAGTTTCACGGTACGGTACTTAAGTTATACGAAATTGGAGTGTATTATGTGTCAATCTTGTAAGAAATTAGTATAAAAGTATTAATTATTTTCTTGTTTCAGTTAAAAACCCAAAGACTAAAGCATAAAACATATTTATAAACTTTTAGTGAATGAGTTTATCATGTCTAATTATGTGTACATTTCGTGGTGAATTATATAGTCACTAAGATGTTTTTGACAGATACAGACTAATAGATTTTTAAAAATTATTTCTGTAATAATCATGATAGGTGTTCTATAAATAACGTCATTGTTATTTATGTGGTTGTTCTATGAATGAATGACTTTATTTACATACTAATGAGCAGTAACTATGTTGGTATTGATTTTCGTTGAAATTAGACTATTTTATTTATCGAAAAATATTAGCAATATTAAGCGACCATCACTTGCTATCATCCGTTATATTCTATCTCGTACCTGAAATGATTGAATTTCAGTAGCCACTGCTTCTCACCAGAAGTTTAGGAATTTTTCTCGAAGATAGTTATAAGCATGAATATATGGTAACTTATGGTACAGGTGATTTGTGGGGGTTGTTTGATTTGAAGATTGGTTGAAACATAAGCTGATATTAGCTAGGTAACGAATAAAAACTAGAAAGAAATTGAATTAGTGTTTTGTTTTGTTATGGGAGTCTTCAACAATATACATACATGATTTTGCCAGGTATCGAACTAAGGCGATTCAGTACATGTGATGATCTATTAAACTTAAAACCGGTGAGTTGAGCTATGATGAGTTTTATTTTCGAATCCAGTCAGTCAGTGTGAAGCACGAGGAATTCAGTATTATTATATATGTCATTAGGATATGAGTATCAGTTTAAAGAATCCTTTCAGTTTTCAAATCACTTTTTAAATTAACTAATCCCATTTACTAAGACGACTTAATGTGTGTTACTGACACTTTAATCTGTGTTGTTTATATATTAGACTATGATTAAAAAATCCATGGTTTAAATGTTTCTTTCTGTACTGTTATATTGTCGTCAGTTTTTTCAAAGTATTTATTTTTGTTTTACAAAATCGTAATACTTTATTATATTTTATAGAGTTAAAAAAATCCTCCAATGAAACATTAAGTATAAGTTCTCATAAGCCTATAAAATCATCTTCAACTGTTACTCATCATAGTTTTAAGAAGTCATCAATTGATCACCTTTCAAGTTATAGATCAAAAAGTGTACTCTCTACAGAATCAATATCTCAAGCAGAATCCGCTGAGTCCAAAACTTCAAGAAATTCTCAAACTAATTCATTAGCCAACGAAATGTCGAACCATACTATTTCATGTAAATTTAACATGAATGATAATGAAAATAAATCTGTGTGTAGTGAACAAGATAATAATGAAAACGAAGAACAAAGAGAATTCCTTAATTCAAATCAGGCTAATCTCAATGATGAAATTGCAAATAATAATCATAATAATGATACTATTGAAAATGGGTTTCCGTTACTTCTGGAAACCTCACGTTATGAAGGTAAACATAGAAATTTGATTAAATGTTTGTTATTAAAAAGAAATTTATTTTTTTACTTGTTACTGTTATTATGTTGCTCGTATAACAAGTTGTTTTGTTTTATTTGAAAAATGAAATGGAGAAACTATTCAATTTGAGTGTGTGGTTTTAGTGAAGTTTCGTGATATGAGGTGCATGGTTTAATCGTGAAATTTTCGTTATGCTTCTAGACAGTCATAATTCCAGAGAATGAAACTTCACCAAAATATGAGTGATATCATCATTATTGTTTATTGTTGAATGAGTTTTTGAACAGTTTAATGAATGCATGAAGTGAAAGAACATTTTTTTTCAATATTTGAAAACGAAAACGTGACCGTTTTGACAGGACACAAACAAATGTTCCTTCTATTCAGTGGTCATGCTTCCAGTTTAGTCAGTCGGGAACTAACAACTACCTATATACCTCTAACAGCCCTTAATTTCACCTTGTTCTCAAGTCAAAATGAGTAATATCGACGTGTTATGATTGTGTTCTGATGTTAGTTTCCGAACGGATAAAAATCGAGCAATCGAATTTCCAAATTTTTAGGTTTTTCAAAAAAAGACTTATACCATTGAATCAATTAGTTTCAAACCCTAACTTCAATTGCTTCTTGATATAACCGGATCGTTATCTGTGACCTAAGAAAACAATCAAATCAGGTATAATTCATTAAAACATCGATGTTAAAATTAATCATGATATGATGCGAAGAGAAGTCAAAATTAGATTGATTTACTCATTATGAGTTTTATTCAACATCGGTTTTTGTTTGAATGTGACCATTATTCAGTGTAGCATTCGGTTTTGTTTTCCAATGTGATATTTTATTCTGTATAACATACGACATTGTTGACAAGATCTATGCTCAGCATATGATTTGGCATAAATTTAAGTACTTTTTTATATATGTGATTTCATCCTAATTATTAATCAAAGTGTGTATACAATCAATATATAAGTGGGTGTATTTTTGACTAGCGTCGTCGTCGTGTTTTGGGGGGTCAATAAATCTTCAGTTTTTGTGTTCATACTTTCGCATCGTGGGAATTGCAGAGGTCCCTCGTTTTGAGTATAAGTGATAAGCGTTTCCGATATAACAATCACCGACGACTAGATATAAAAAGTTGCATTAAAAGAGCCGAGACAATCAGCATTCAAATGATAAGTTATAACAAATCAACTAGAGAACAAATATTGACATTTTCGTTTCTCGTCTCTTTGCAACAATATATCTATAATCTAATATAGATGTATGACTACGAGAGTAAATAAACAATGCAAAACCATGAAAGTACATTAGTGCTTTAAATTTATCTTTGAAAAATATAGATTATATAGGTTACCAGTGAATGTGTAATTTACATAATAATAGTGACATTGTTATTGAAATAATAAGCAACTTAGAATTCCCGTTGAAACATTGATGTAAAACGAACAAACAAACAGTTAACCAGCGGATATTTTATTTCAGTTAACGTTCATCATTACTTCTGTCATCAGTCAGTCATATTCAACATAATGGATATCAGAAGGGGGTTTCGTGGAGATTTTAGTAATTTCAATTGTTGAGATATTACAAATGTCAGTTAGCTTAAGTTACCATATCATATTAACATTACGAGATGAAATTAACCAAGATGAATAGTAATGGTGTCGAAATAACGTAGTAGTAACGACAATGAAATATTAAATAGATATTCAGCATATAGTTTTAAAAAAAACAGAATGAGAAGGCTTGTATGAATGGACATCGGGATTCAAGATTTAGAGTAAGATAAAGGGTAAGTGCAACTGACTTATGTCATTCAACATCTCAAACCTACTGATCCCGGTTATTGCATGAAACCTAAACACTATATCTCATACTATCAATATAACTCAAACTAACAGTTAATGACCTTTATGCAGTTATCGTAATCACTATCATCAACTCCACATTAATATGCAGGTTTTGTTTTCAAAATTTATTCATAAAATCAATAGCATTCAAGTATAAAGTTCAGTTAGCTAACAGTCTATTTTTTAAATAATTTAAAATAACCCATCACACAACTCATGTTAACCTAAATAGTAACGATCTTATTATGAGTTGTAAAGCATTATAATGTCAAGTTATGATGACAAATTAATTAAGAAAAAAAAATAAGGGTTTTTTCAACTTTGTTTTTGTTGTTGTCTACTCACAAGAATAAAACAGCAAACAAATTGTTGTGCTTTGTCACACACACACACGTTGTTCTACTACTGTCAATTAATAAACAAAAGTTATTCACATATCAAATGATTATAAGAATTGGTTTTTAAACTTAATTTTTTTGAAAAAAATGAATAAGCACACACTTCGGTTGATTTTCTATTGTTTAGCGTAGTATTATTCCATTTCTCTGTATTGATGGTTGCTCTGATTGTTAGATAGTGCATTTGTCTCGTGACTTTGGCTCTCACCATGTGGCGTCATAATTCTTCTCAATGAAGATCATTCAACTCGGAGGGTTGGGTTTAAATGGTTTAATTTGTTTATCCTGGCTAACGATTATTTAACAAGGTTGTTTTCTGTGGGATAGGGTTGATAATCCCATGTCTAACACTCCTCCTTTACACGTGCTTGAAACCAACGTTAACCATAAAAGAGCTGCGGGCATAATTAAAGAACATTTCGAACTCAAAACAACTGTATGCAAGGCAACATCCAAGTCAGAGCCAAGACAGTTCTACTGTACGGAGCAGAAACTTAGAAAACTACCACAATTATCATGAAAAAGGTACAAGTATTTATAAACAAATTTCCGTTAGCCGGATACCATCAGCAACAGCCTGCTCAGGCAGAGAACAAACCAGCTTCCATCTGGGGAAAAAATGAGAAAACGATACCGAAAGTGGATGGGACATACATTGTAGGCACCATCAAATTGCATCACGAAACAGGCTCTAACTTGGAATCATGAAAGAAAAAGAAAAAGTGAAATATCAAGGAACACGTTGCGTCGGTAATTGAAAGCAAACATGAAAAGGATGAATATCAACTGGAAGGAGCTGGAAAGGAATTCTCAGGACAGAGTTTAATGGAGAATACTTGTGAGCGGCCTATGCTCATACACGGGAAGGGGATAACAGGCGTAAGTAAGAAAGTAGGCACAGTATTAGTAATGGAGTGAGGTCAGTTTTAAAATACAGTAGGAATGATGTAGCCAGTGTCCCTTGTGACTAAAAGTCTTCATTTTTGAAGAGTTTTGTTGTTGAATTTCTTTCTGAATTTTTGTTAAGATTTTCTTTATGTTTATTTCTATTTGAATTCTGTAGAAAAAAGCATTGACTGATCATCCTATAACTTACTAATTCTAAGCAAGAAAACATTAGGAGACATGAATTGGTTAGTAAAATAACATAATGTAAAGCAGCTTCCAAACAAAAGAAGCAAACGACTTAATCAGGATGAATGATGTGGATTGTTAGAATTGTGAGACATAATAATAATAATAATAATAATAATAATAATAATAATAATAATAATAATAATAATAATAATAATAATAATAATAATATAGTTATAAGCACTTCTTTAAGACATTTCTTCAATATCAGTGATTCCCAGTAGCTTTGTTTTCCATTTAAGGTCATATTGGACTGTAAAATATGACAAGTTAAACTTGTTTAATATACATTAAATAACCGATGTCATGATTGACTTTTGTTGACTTGTTTGTATTTATTGATTTAGAGAAAGAAATTCATATCCGATTATTTTATTGATCGATTAGTCAAATTGTCTGTGAATTATTTTACAACACAGTTTAAATTAGCTAGTCAGGCCATTTTAGGTATTGTGGCTATTCATGTGTTCAAAATTTGTTTTTCTTGGTATTCTTTCATCTGTGTTTTCTTTCATTTTCGTGGAACTAAAGTATAGGGACGACCTTCAGCACTTTTAGAAATGACCTTACAAAATCTCTGTCACTTCGACTCAAACTAGGGTAATGAAATAAATAGTGTTGTGAATTAAGATTAGGAGTTTGAATAAGAAGTTAGGATAAGAAATTACGGTTCGGAGTTTTATCACTGATTGGCATCAGTGAAACACTCTATCTTAAATCTGATTGGTTTGTCATTATCATTTAATTACATCTTTATTCTAAAGCAAATAAACAAATTCATCATAATCATGGAATTATTTTTCTTTTTAAACCAATCATTGACATAAACTCTACAATCAATTAATTATTAGGTACTTATGATGGAGAACTAAATTAATCTAAAATTCTATTTGTTTTCTTTTTTAAATAAAATGCAAAAGTATTGTACTTGTACTTGTACATTTTGATTAAGTTGTTTTTAAATTTAATGGAATCTAGTTTACTATTTAATTATCATCCAATAATTGTTCAATATTTCAAGGTGTGTTTATTTATACTATTTATTGTAATATTTATTAAGAAATTATATCACGGGTTTAAAATTGGTTATCATAAGATTTTTCATTGAAAAAAGGAACATCATATATTTTATGATTATCTTCTTTGCAATGTTAAGTATATAGTAATATATCTGTTTAAAAACCGAAAAACTTACAGTATTGATCTGATAACGTGCTTTGTCATCACTATCGTTCGGTCACTTACTTGGAATACAACAATTTCTTACTTTTGATTTAAATTCATTTGTGTTATACTTCATATGTCATCAGTAGACATCCAAATCTTGTCTTTTGAATAGCACTTGAGTAATTATACAAGTAAACTATATTTTAATATAAATAAACAAATAATATATTATTTATTTATTTATAACAATCTACCCAATGCTCAATTTATTCGAAATTATAAAATCAAACCTTGTTAATGATACCTATATTTCGATAGTTGAATTCGTGAGATTATCTAAGCTAGACCACCATTGAAAACCTGGGAACACTAGACAACCGTTTCGCCGGAGTATGGGATTAATCGACAGTGTGCACCTATGGTTTCGCACGCGGGATTCGAGCCCGGGAGCTTCGGTCTTGCTCGCAAACGTTTAACATCTAGACTACTGAGCCGGCACCCAACAGTGTTAGTGTCTAAATTCAATCGGTCCATGATCTTTCTCAACCCTTCATCCGTCGTCTGAGGTGGATAACTGTCTCCACACGAGACGGATTGGACTCCACTGATCACAGCTTCTCATTGAAACTCCAAGAAATCCATCTTGAATCTTGTCACTACTGAGCACATGATTAATATCAGAACGGGGATTTTGGAGATTGTAGCAATTTTAATAGTTGAATTCATGAATCGATCTTAGTTATATTTTTATTCTTCTTCGAACGATATCAGTTCTGTAATGACAATCGGTTTCAAATTTATTAGTTTAACACAGAATACTAAACTGAATTTTGAAACACTTATTTATAATCATATTCTTGTTTGACCTAATGATTAAAATATTGTGTAGCGTTGTTTCAGTATACATACAGATGTCGCTTTCAATTTCATTTAGTGTAAATTCATCGGAACAGTTCATTGCCTCATCAGTTCTAGATTTACATAAATTTTGTCAAAGAAGGAAATACCAAACAGAACATGGTGCACGGGATGCTATGATGCTTGAACTATTGAAAAAAGTGGAACCTGACCGATAAAATCAAATCAAAACTAAGCACCTGGGTAGACATAACTTGGGTTACTATTCAGTTGTTAATGTTACAAAAATATCAACAATCTTGTGTACCTATTGAAATAGCAACGTACAAATCATACTCAATTGTTTTTTGAATGCCACTTTGATTTTATACGCCTAATGAAAAAATATTCCTCTCTGTTTTCTGACTTCAACAGGTTCACTGAAACAGTGTTCACTGGGTAATGATGATCAGAACAAACCTATATCCAATGAGAATACCACACCAACACCACGCCATACAATAACAAAACAAACTGATTGTAATGGTTTAATGGAAAAATATTTAAAGCTTAGTTTAAATACTAGTTCTAAATCACCGGTGTCTAATACATGTAATCAAGCAGTGAACGGAACTAAGATAACAAACGGATATCATTCACCTAGTTCAAAAGAAAAACCCTTATGGTTCGAGAATGGAGTGAGTGGAAATGGTCCTTTTCTCTTATTTTTACCAGATATTGGTTTTGACAATTGATCTTTTAATAACATATCTTTATCAAAAGTAAAGCACGAACGATAATGACGTAAAAACTTCACACGTACATATCCAGTTAGCATTGGGCATGGAGACAAATCAAAATAGTTTTCGAGCCATAATTTTCACGAGCATATATCACAAAGCTAACACATAGTTGGTACAGTGTTGGTGTTTAAATATTCAATAGACCTGAAAAATTCGTGAAGATATTTATTCAAGTTCCAAGTTGTTAGTTCAGGACACTGCTTTCCAACCCTCATCAGATTACTTCTTTCAAATTAGGATAGCTTTAAGACACTATTAAATACGGTGGAAATCAGTAAAAATACATCCTAAACATAACTCTTAGTATAATTTGTTGATTTCTATATTTAATGATGATTACCTCTTCTTTCTCTACAGAATATGTAAAGCGAAAAATATACCAAATATTGTGATTGTTCCACTTGATTACACAGTTAACCTATATGATTAGTCTATTAAAACAAGTTGAAAGCATAAATACATATTGGACTATTTGCATGGTTGGAAAATAGGTGACTTAAGGTTTTTAAGTTGGATATCGTCGACAATTCATTTTAATCTGCACATCATTAAATCCTTTTTATTTTTTATGGTAAAATTTTTATTGACTTTCGTACAGACACCATAATTTTAATTCATTCAATAATTGTGTATTTTGTCTATTTGAAATATAAACCATTTTTATGTCTCGAAAACAGTAGCATTGATTTATTGTATTTAAATCGATTTGATTTCCAGCTAGTTCAACTGTACATTGTTAATTGTAACCAAGTTGAATAAATCATATTTGTTTTATTGATTAATTACTGCATAATAACTGTGATTATCTATCAATTATGTTGAATTGTTATCTTTTTTTTTATTATTCTCCATTTTAAAGCATCATTTTAGTTCTAGTGAATCAGAGATTATCAGTTTGAATAATGGTAAAACTAAGTGTCATTTTACACCAGGAAATTTCAACAAAGATGAATTAATTCCAAATGAGTAAGCGAAAAAATATATCATATTTCATGTGAAATGATAATAAATCATAATTCAAAATGTTTGATTATTACCATTACGATTGTAGATCAAAATATCAAAGTAACTAATCAATAATCTAAGCCTCAGCAACTTGATCATTTCTATGATTATGTAAACGTTTCCAGTTTTATTTGGTGTATTTCTATGACATACAACAATTTACAATTTATTGAACTATTACTGTTTTCACCTTGAACTGACATCAGTACTGGAAAATAGCTTTACCTTAGTATGTAATTTCCCAGCAATACAAACTTACGATAAACTTTGGGATGAAATCCTAGACTTGTGGGTCTTATGGTGATCGTTTGGATCTTTCATTTAAGTAGATTTATCACTGCACGATCGCAGTTTATTTTCAAAAGTGATCTAAAAATGTACTGATTGCAGGAAAGTTGAAGGTCCTGAGTTCGAACCGGTTCGGTATCATGAGTGCCCTTTATTGCAGAGTTCCAAGCTAAAGTGGGGGAATTCTCTAGTTCCCATACACTTACAATGCTTTTTATGTCAATTTTTAATGTAGAATAAACTTAAGTTTGCTTTCTAAGAGTATCATTCTGGATACACTAATGTGTGTTCTGTACACAATGGAGTTTTAGTTAGTCATTGTGTAGCAAGTTACTCTCACGTGTATAATTTTATCCTCAATGCCTACTTGAATAAACCTATGAGGTTTATCATAATGACATTTCAACAAAGTGCACCATACTTGGTCTTAGACACTAAAGAATAATAAAACAAGAGTTTTGAACATGTTTCATACATGGTGTCATTCATCGGGCAGAAAATCGTCTCAGTATTTTAAAAAATGCTTTTACCTCCAAAACTCCCTAGAATATTGAAAACGCGTCTACTTTATCAAAAAAACACTTGATAGGTAACCCGTTTAACATCTACATAAGTAACAGTTATATTGTATATAATACAATTAATCTTTTTGACGAATTTCGATTGTGTAATAATTTGACAATGGTTTCATGTAAACATTTATTATACAATCTACATTATGTGATACTTAAGGTATGGATGTAGTGATAATGACTGTTTCATGTATCACCTATACTGACAATACAGTATGCTAGGGCCTGTTATACAGTTGTTTTACTAAACAAATTTTGATATACATACAAATATACATTTGAAACATTTGGGGTTTGGAAGGAAAACAAAATTTTGTTCTTTTTTCATACTACTTTTTGGCATCAGTATTGATTTTCCCATACTCTTAACTATGACATAGTACATATTGTTAGTTTTCCTTATATACAAACTATTATGGGAAAAGTAAATATATTTGGCAAGCATTATACTGGAAATCAATAGGTACTAGGAATAGTTATTTAATTGATAAACAAAAGTCCTATTCATGTCCTTTCAAGATACCAGGTAAGTCTTTATTTCTGTTTAAGTCAAGTGACATAATTGGTCTACTAACCTGTTTTATTAATAAGACCATTTTGTTTTGCTTGACTCAATAGTTAATTTTATGGTGTGTTCACTCTGATAGCTATCGCTTTTCATGATTACCATTTTTTTAAAATATTTTATATGTGCACGTACCAGTCTTTCGGTTTCCTTCGTAAACTGATTTGACGATAGGTATCGTACGAAATTCCCATCAGTTTAAGAAAAATTGTTATTCCGGATAACCGGACGGTTATTTTACTCCAGTCTAATAGTGAATAAGACTTTACCCAGATCTCAAAGGCAAGTGCATCATCGTTAGACTACTGCATCACGTGCTAATGATTCACATTGTATTACGATGGCCGTAAATTACCTCATTTTCTTATTTTTGATAAATGATAGTTCAAATATATAGGGTAGTCTGCGTTAACATTTTCTCAATTCATATTTCTACACTGACCCTTGATGTTTTCTGATTGGTTATTCTTGTTTTTAGTTTGAAATTTTTATTATGTGATATAAGATCACCTTTGTTTTCTGTTATCATTTTGACCACTGAATATCAAGCTTTTTTCTGAGTTTCTAATTTTTCTTGGTTTCATTGAGCGGGAGATTATCGTATTAGTCGTTCAGTCTATTCAGTTTGAGTAGATTTAGTTTCTTATTAAAAGAATCTTACTATCGATCTCAAAATAGAAAACATTGTAAACCTTATTCGATTCGTAATATCAGTACACTATAGTCATAGATAGTGTCAATAGCATGTTATTGGTTAATTGTACAAGTTGTGACATCTTAAATTGGCCTGACCGTTGTTGCTACCTTGACGTGGTGGTCGGGCTTGCCTATCGTGATGAAGCAACCGAGCTATACTGGCTGGAACAACCGTTCCTCAAGGTCCTACCATGTCAGACAGGTCGGTTGAAGAGCGGTAAGACTAAAAGCAACAAACCTAAGGTCCGAAGGCGAAGTCGTATTGCTGACTGTACAGAGGTGTGACAGCAGTAAGGTGTTTCCTTCAGACAACCAGCGTGACAGCGATGCTGCCTTCCCACAAGGAGGGGTGGGGTTAGAAAAGGTCGACCCTAAAAATGCACACCTCGCCTTACCCCACGGATATCCGTCTCCGGCGGCAAGGTCCCAAAAAGTACGGAGCTAACACAAAAATTACCCATAAAGAGGTCGTGTGTGACCGACCTCAAGCAGTTGTCCCTTGGGCACTGCGGTCATGCTCCCAGGTCACTGAGACCGCTTCTAATCCAATTTCCTTTTCAGATACCTCCAGAAGAACCCTTCCAACCGGGAAGTGATAACCGCCCTCATACCTCTAACAGCACTCAAGACCATTGTATTCATAATCTTAAATTCGACTTTCATTAGAAATTATCTCAATGATAAGTTACCACTAAACAAACAATTAGAATTATTCACTTGGCTCGTTTCACTCTATCCTAGACTTAGTTGAAATATAATTCCTCATGAATTTAAATAGGCGCAGAATAAAACTTTAGTACAAGTTACTGGAAAGATAATAAAAATTTCCTAAGTTGAATATCATAAATCTAGTTTATGTGACCTATTTTGTCAAGTGCGGGTTCGTATACTCAGTTTCGAAATATGCTTTGTGTAACTACCGGTGATACTACTCAACCGCCTGGTTCGAACTACATTAAGCGGGGCTCGAACTTGTGACCTAGTAGTTGAAGGTCGAGTGTTTTATCAAATAAGCTATCGCTCCACAGGTGAAATCAGTTAGCGTTTCACTATTATATATATATATATATATATATATATATATATATACCACATGAAATATAGAAATCTGACACTTAAGTTTTAATAAATATTAACTTTGTGCCAACATTTAATCAAGACATTTTTATCCGTTTCATTTTTATCTTGTAGCGTTGATATCGACAGTGGTTCAGATTACATTTGGTAGGAACGCCTTTGATTTTGTTTTCCATTCTATTAATAATTTTATTCAAATGATTGAATTTTACTTTATCCTATGTATGCATCATTCTCTTTAAAGACTATATCCTTGTTATTATTTTATCTTATAAAATGTGCCGGTTATTTTAGTTTATTGAGATATTTTTAATTTGTGAGAAATAAATTCAAACAAAAATCTTTTGTAAATTATCATTTTGTAATGAAGCCTAATTATAAAGTTATACAATAACAGAACGGAATTTTAAAGTTGAATACTTAGTTCTTATCAGTTTATGTTATTTTATGTAGTAAATAATAATCATTTTGAAAATACAAAATTTCAGATGAAAAAATGATTGTCTTACTGTAATTCATTTTTATTTAAATGAATCTTACCACATACTTTGTTTAAACTAAAAATATGGAAAAGAAAGAAAAAAGGTAGTTACTAATATAATTGACAGAACTATGTTGCTAAAAACATCCGATGTATTTGAAAAAGCAAATCAATTGATGTTCTACTTTTTAAAATGAACATATTAATTGTAGTTTGAATAAAATAGCAGAAACATTGAAAATAAATCACAACTGATAGAGAAAATAATAAAAAGGTAGATAGATATAAAAAAAGAAGATAGGCTTCAATAAATTCAAGAAGTAGATTGTAATTATATAAATGGATAGAAAACATATTAGAGTAGAATATTGCCGCATGTAAAGTGGGTTTTTGTTATACGTAACAGTTTGAAATGCCGTTGTCTCTTTATAACAAATAACTTTTTTTCTTTAGTTAAAAAAACAAATTATATTCATGTAGGTATAACCGAATGCATATTTGTATTGAATAATAAAAGACCAACAAATATTATTTTGTGAACATCAGAATGTGTACACAAATGTTAAGCAGTGTTTTAGTGGTTGAAGGTTTTTGTACTTTTTTTGGTCTAGGAAGCTGGGGCAATATCACTAACCTTCAAACAGTGCGGTTCAAAGCTGATTACATGAACGTTTGTATGGTAAGTGGGATTATCAACATAAAATTAAGTTACAATGTGAACCAGTTTGATAGTATCACTGTTATGCTTACTTGGAAAGTATAAATTGTAAGATAAAAATACCGATTGTAATGCTAAAGACTGACAATCAAACTTTGAAAAGGACTAGACCATCATCACTATACCTGTTATCTCTACTCTTTGAGTTAGATTTATATCTTATGTTTGCTTTCATAATATTTGGTAGTAAGTTGGTAAATTCGTTTTAAATAACTGATGGACACTTTTAGTAAAATGTTGACTGCATGTTCCAGTTATAGAAATATCAATAGTTAATTGGTTAGAACATTTGACATTTAGTATGCTTGGATCACAAATATGAATCTAGCTCTGGAAATTTCGGTTTGGGTACGTAGCAAGATAGTCGCTGATGGCCAGAAAAGCTAAATATACACAAGCTTATACTAAGTTATCGACACGCATACAGTAAGTAATCATTATTTGCAGTAATAAAGGCATAACATTACAGTCTACTCATCAATTAACAATTTATTAATTTGATGATAATGATAGTCATCATCATTAAAATCTGACTACCAGAATTGACAACACGACTAAGAATCAGTAATATACATTATTCGAAGTAAGATATTTAAAGACAGACAGGGAATTTTTTAACATGCGAATTAAGTGACTATATGGTTACTCATCTCAGTGCAAGAGGAAAGGCAGAAAAATTCAATGAAAATGAGCAAAGAATAAATGAATCGAACTTAATTACTAATCCATACTTTCTCAGCACAAATTGTTAAGATTAATAATAATGATAATAATTATAATTGAAATGAAAGAGAAGACAGTATTAAATTTACATTTTGTTGGAAGGATAGTAGGTGATAAAAACAGGTATATGAAAAGGTACAATGCAGAATCCAATTATCTGTATGTTCGTGTCAACGAAATAAACAATCAATATCTCAACGATTATCAGTACACATGAGTAACTAATACTGATATACATAAGAAATTATTCATAAACAGGTAGGTATTAGGTATCATTTGGACAAATACAGGAGAAAGCATTCCATACGAAAGATGACATAAGTAGTAGAAGACGAAAAGTATCGATTTCCACCTCTCTGGCTCTCTCTAAGAAAGATAATTATTCTGATTAAAAGAATTATTGTAGTGAAGATTCAAGCGAGAACATACTAGGGGGATTCAATATACACTGGAATAATCAATACATATTATTAAGTGGTCAGTATAGATAGATTGACAGTTGATTAGCTTTTTTTTAATTAATGATGTAATAATGCTAAGCGATCCCCATCATTATAAATTGACAAAATCATTTGAGCAGATATATAAATCTCAGTGATCTCTCATTAAACAATTTACAAAAATAAAAATATTTATTCATCAGAGCATTCGAACCATCATGGTTAGTTGAATAATTATAGGCGTATATGAATTAAATGATACAGTGTGGTGATAGCCAATATAACAAAGTCATGTAAGTTTTATTCAAATCTAGTTTGGTAAAACTTTTGTAAAAGAATAATTGAATGAATTATTAATAATATGAACAAGTAAATATATATATATATATATATATATATATATATGTAAAACACAGCTGAGAATAAAGAGAATAAAACAGAAGTACATGTTTCACACAGAATTCGATTCAGTGCAATCGAACTCAAATATTTTTATTTTGTAATTGTAAAACTCGACGATTAATTACCGAAATTTACATATTTGCTTTAAATATTCTCAAAATAATTATAATCACTTAGAATAAGTAAATGAATGCAAACAGAAAGAGAAGGAAGAATTTATATATATATATATATATATATATATATATAACTAGTTAATCAGGTGTAAAATGATATATGTGGTGTATTTGCAATATCAGTTAGTTAATGTGACAATAATAACAAGAGAATTAGTTGGCACAAGAGTTCATTGAATCAAATTATAACTAATTTTCAAAGGAAATTACACATTTTTAATTGATGGATTCAAAAAATAACAATAATACTAAACCTAGATGATTTGTTTAATCGCATTGAAGGCACAAAAAATCAAAAATCACTTTTACTGTAAATGACTAAATTTAATCGTATCAGATATTGCAGATAAATTAGTTGAATTTATTTTATGCTCATTTATACTATCATTCTTATTTTTAACGCTCTTGTTTTCAGTAACAACTAGAGAACCAAATTTTTCTTTTATATTATTGTTACTTTGTTCTAATTGAAGCGTTGAATTTGAGTGAAAACGATTCACATTTGTTGGTGGATCACATATATACCGATCACCAATCAAACGATATTTACATAAATTCATATGATAATCAGATGAAATAACAAATAATTGTACACCACTAGCTAAGGAGCCTTCACGATAGAATTGTAAACTAACAGGTTGTGGCTTTCCTGGACCATTTGTTAATGTGAATTTCGCTCGAACAGTACCAGTTGCATCAAATTTCGAAGTGAATTCGGATCGATGTGCATTATTACTAGTATTATCCCTTGATAAGTCACGATCAATATTAGCATTGTGAAGTGGGATACGCCATGTAGCATGATTAACTTCTGGGAGCCACGTACCAACTGGAAGACTTTGCATATGACTAACAGTTCCATCAATCATGAGATTTATTCGCAAATCTCCAGTATTTTTCACAGATCTAATAAGGAAATTATTATTAATTAATTAAGATTATATCGAGTGAAATATCTGTAGACAGAATATAATTTTTGATTATAATGAATAGTACTGCAATAATAGTATTAGTGTTTCAGGCGGATAACATTAATAAGTCAACATCTAATAAATTTTATATTGAATGATTATATTCCCATAAAAACAATAAATGTTTATACTTGATTTAATGAAATGCAATTTAGCCATGAACATGAAAACAGAATCACAATGAATCTGTTCATTCATAATATAATGCATGATTCAAACAAATTGAATTTATCGTAGAAACAAGTTAATGAGTTATTATTGAAAATAAGTAAAGTGGGTGAGTATGCAAGTAAAACATTTTACAAGGAAGTACCTTGTTACATTTTTTTTCCAACTGGATATCCTTTCTGTTGGTGTAGAATAAAGTTCTGACTATTGAATGAACTGATTAGGCTAGAACTGGAACACCCTAATTAGTTCATTTTCAATCAATCAGCTCTGGTGAACGGACCGAGATGCCAAAAATTTATGTAAATCTTATATAAACTCCAATATTCTTACTACTGTATGTTCAACACTCGAGTTGTTGGAACAAGTGGTGTTCGCCTCTAGTTATTTTTCGAATCCGGAGAGTGTTTAGTATAGTAACGAAGTCAGGATACACTAGACAGTAGAATGACACATTACATTTGACCAAAAACTATATGGAATTAAGTTTTATCTCACTGGCCTAGTTCTGTCTACAGTTAGGAATTACTACTAATTCTGGAATTTTCGAGTTGTAATATATATGTTTATGAAAAGACCTGCCATCAATAAAATTTCGAAAACGATAAGTCTCTGACAAAGTTATGATTTTAGATAATCTGCGGGCTAACTTAAGGAATAGGAAGAGCTTTTTCTGGACGTGAAAAAAAACTTAATTGTTGTTGGATTTTAAATGTTCTCTGTGAGATAGTCTGCATCCAGATTATTTTGGAGGTTAGTACTTTGATTGTTTATTGTTAGGGGTTGTTAGGCGCATAAAATTCGATTTTGATGCTCGACATTTTGAAAAGAAATTGAACTTTTGATTTGGTCTGCCAAATTTTCACAAAAGACTTCTTTCACTTTTGATGTGACCATGAAACCAGTATCTTCACTTTTTTAAATATAATAACCTTTTGGACTTTATTCAAAGACATTGTACACATATTTATCTTTAGTGTTTTCAATAAATCTTACAAATAAGATTTGATTTTCGGATTAGCTTGAGTTGAAAACAGAAAGCAGAATGGTCAGTCTTCATCAATGAAGGTCAGTCAGCCAGTTACAAAGTAGGACCAGGCACATACAAGCATCGGTCCAAGTTGCCACACCTCATCACTGAAGGAACACAAGTCAGAAATAACTCAGCGTATAATTAGCGGGCTCAATTATGTGTAAAACAAACCATCAAAAATATCATTGAATTACGCAAAAACAATAATAAAGAACGTACTCCTTAGCAGCAGTTGGTGTAGGCCATTGTGCTGTATAATCCAAACGAAAATCTGTGGTTAATGCTTCACAACGCCAGTAAGTACATAAATGTATTGGAGGTGTAAGACTGGAATAGTAACCTTTAACATCGGCATTTACATCAACTGTATAAGTTAATA